CAGTTCGACGATGAAATCGGCGAGGACTTGAGATTTCATGGCTGGCCGAGCTCGGAAGTCGATGTCGTATTCGCTGAGTTCGACGGCCCACTTAGTCATTCTTCCAGACAGACTAGGACTATGCAATGCGGCTTTGATGGGCTGATTTGTGAGCACGGCTACGGTGTGGGACTGGAAGTAGGGACGCAATTTTCTTGCCGACGTGACGACTGCTAGCGCAGCTTTCTCCATTGTAGGGTATCGGACCTCGGCGTCGATTAACGACTTGCTTATATAGAAGATTGGCCTCTGTTCACCGCGGTCGTCTCGTACTAATACCCCACTGACGGCCCAACTAGATACAGCTATGTATAAGAACAAGGTTTCACCGTTCTCAGGCTTTGCAAGTACCGGCGGCGTCGTCAAATACGTCTTAAGCTCGGCGAATGCCTTCTCACTTGCGTCGTCCCAAGTGAACTTATCTCTCCGCTTTAAGAGGTTGTAGAATGGCATGCACTTGTCTGTTGACCTTGAGATAAACCGATTAAGGGCGGCGATCCGTCCGGTTAACCGTTGTACCTCTTTAGCGTTTCTCGGGGAAGGTAGTTCCAGTATAGCGCGAATTTGTTTTGGGTTGGCTTCTATCCCCCTTTTGGTGACGACGTAGCCCAAGAATTCGCCGGATGTAACCGCGAATGTACACTTGGCCGGGTTCAATTTCATCTGGTATTTGTTTAGGACGTCGAAGCATTGTTGGAGGTTTTGAACGTGGTCGTCCGCTTTCGGAGATTTAACGAGCATGTCGTCGATGTAGACTTCGACAGTTCGGCCGAGCTGTTCGGCGAACATTTTGTTGACGAGGCGTTGGTACGTTGCCCCGGCGTTTTTCAGACCGAAAGGCATCACTTTGTAGCAGTACGTTCCGCGGTCAGTGATGAAGGATGTCTTTTCCTGATCGTCTTTATGCATGAGGATCTGGTTGTACCCGGAGAAGGCGTCCATGAACGATAGGAGCTCGTTTCCTGCCGTGGCCTCAACGAGCCGATCGATATGTGGCAAAGGGTAGCAATCCTTTGGACATGCCTTGTTTAGATCAGTGAAGTCGACGCACACCCGCCACTTACCGTTCTTCTTTTTGACTACGACGGGGTTTGCCAACCACTCCGGATAGCGGACTTCAACAATGGAACCGGCGCTTAACAGCTTTTCGACCTCGTCGTTTACTGCTTTGGCTCGTTCCGGACCCAATTTGCGTCTTTTCTGCTTCACAGGCTTGAATGTTGGATCCACACCGAGCTCGTGAGATGTTATTGAAGGGTCGATACCCGGCATGTCTTCGACACTCCAAGCGAAGGTCGACGAGTTCCCTGTGAGAAGGGCCACGAGGGCCGCTCTGATTTCTGAACTAATTTCCGCTCCGATATTTACACATCGTAGTGGGTCTGACGCGTCAATATTCACGAGTTCTGTTCGGCTCAGCTCCGATTCTTCATAGGACTTGCCCGGCGCCTTTACTGTTGCGGAGCTGGGCGCGGGCTCCTGTTTCTTTGGTTGCTATAACTTCTTTTCGGCGCGGTTCTTGTGTTCGATCAGAAAACATGTCCGCGCTACTTGTTGATTTCCTCTGAGGGTGAAGACTCCTTGATGAGTGGGAAACTTGACGCACTGGTGGTAGGTGGACGCGATGGCCTGCATTTGATGGAGCCACGGCGTTCCCAAGATTACGTTGTATATCGCCGGTTTGTCAATGACAACGAACTTAACCCAGGCGATCGTACCGCCAACGAACGTGGGCAGCTTGATGGTGCCTAGGGACATGATGAAGTCGCCATCGAATCCTGCCAATGGTCGAGAACGCGGCTTTATACGTCGGTTGGCGATGTTCATCGCGGTGAGAGTATCTTTAAAAATCAGATCGACCGAGCTGCCTGTATCGATCATGACGCGTGTGACGCGGCTGTCGCTGACGATGAGCTCGACGACGAGGGGATCGTTGTGGGGAAGATCGACTCCGACGAGGTCGTCTTTTGTGAATGAAATGGGTTCGATCTCCTCGGGAGGTTGGCTCGATGTTACTGGCCACGTCTTCATCATTTCGGCTTTCTTTCGGTACTGTTTAATTGAACGGACTGAATCGTTACAATTCTGGAGGCCGCCCATGATCATATGAATTTGTCGGACAACTTTGGGGGCGTCGGCGATAGCTTTGCCTTGGCGCTGTCTTTTGGCCGGATCGTTTGCTTGATCGTCGTCGCCGGTGGCTTTTTCGGCAAGACCCTCAAGGAACTGCCGAGCGGCTGTTTCAGTACGTCTTTGGTTTTTATTACTCCCTTGGGGGCGGTCGCATTCGATGGCGATGCCGCCGCTTTTGTACTTAGCCATGAGGAGTCCCTGCAGGTAACGGCAATCCTCCGTTGCGTGGGCCTTGCTCTTATGATATGCACAATATACCGGCCCCGTGGCATCGGCATCGGTGTCTCTTGACCATTTGTTCCAAGGTTTGTGCGTCGTGTTTTCGCTGTTTATGGCGAACGTGGCCGGCTTTCTTCCTTGGCTCGTATTGCGGTCTAGGTGTTGTTTCAGCTCCGTAGGCTTCACTACAGGAGCTTCTTTCGGCGCCGGTGTCTTCGTCACACCGTGCTTTCGTGAGAGGACGAGCCGTTCCTCTTCTAGCTCGATGTATCTCGTTGCTCTATGAAGCGCATCCTCGAGCGTGTTTGGTACGTGGAGAGTGATATCGTCTCTAAATCTGGAATCGTACCACACCGCGTTGCGTAGGGCCACGATCGCGGCTTCGTCTGGTATGACGATTCGGGTGATGACGTCTTTGAAACGGTCGATAAACAATCGGAGGGATTCCGTAGGTCCTTGTGAGAGGGACCAGAGGTCGGCATTAGTTGTTTGGTTCTGTATGAGCGGCGAGTAATGCTTGAGGAACGTTACGGACAGTTGCCGGTAACTGCTAATCGAATTCGGCTTAAGCCTTGAGAACCAGTTGAGGGCGGCGCCGGTTAGATGTTCGGTAAAAATCTGGCACTGTCCTGCTTCGAAGTTTTCGTCAGTTAGTTCGGCTCGGTTGATCGCTATGCTGAACGACGTTAGGAATTCCTTCGGGTCGCCCTTTCCGTTGTAGGGCTCGAGCTTAATCTTCTGACGTCCTCGAAGTGAGACACTGGTTATTCTCCGAGTGAAGGGTGTCTGCTGTGTTTCGTCGAGGACGCGGTCGAGTTCTGGTGCGGCGCTTATGGCCTTATGAACCTTTGTATTCATGTCCAGGACGATGCGTCGTAGTTCGGCAAGTTCGAGGTCCCGGGCACTCTCGCTCGATGAAGTTACAGGATGGATTTGCCGAGCTGGTACTAGGTTTCCTTGAGTGGGTCGCACACCTTGCGTCTGACTTGCGTTTAGGCGGTTGATTTCGTCCTGAGCGCAAGCTTGGGCCGCTGCCAAAGACTCGAGTCGCACGTTCGTCCTTTCTTCCTGTTGGCTAAGATGTGCGAGGATGTTCTGAAGCAGGTCGTCCGGTTCGGTGCGGCCTTGGCTCCTTTGGTTCGTCCCGACCCTGGCATCAGCATGTGGGTTCGTTGGGTTACGTCCGCTTGGAGGTGCCGCCAGGGCGTCGGGCTGTGGTGCCGGAGGCGACCCCGTTGCTGCTGCAATTGGTCCTTCTAGTGTCGGGGGCAAGGAGGGCGGTGCGTCGACTGGGGTGCACGCTTCTCCTCCCGAACTGGACGCGCTGGCACCGAGAGCGTTGAGAAATGCGTCTGCCATTTTCCGTGTTGTAGGCTCGTCGTTCTGAGAGAAATCTTCGAGCTTTCCCCCTTCCTGGCGCGCCAACTGTTGATCCTCAAATCACACAAGTACGAGTTCTCAAGGGAAGAAAGAAGAATCTCTTATTAAATGACGAGCTTGACAACTACAAAAATAGACGAGCTTGATTTCTAAATTAACGAGCCGAGCCGCAAAGTTCTCTGACAGTTCGCACAATATTCTCTGCTTTAGTCGTTATTTCGGGATCCCTTCGCAATCATTTCCTCTTCCTATTTATAGGGTGCAGAGGTAGGGTACCCTGCGGGTCTGAAATGTCCTTTTTGCCCTTTGGTCGGTGAGAGCTCATTCACTGGGCTCTTTTTGGGCCTTAAGGTATTTCAGGTCCGCTGGGCCGCAGAGGATGATAGATTTGCTTAAGATTTTGGGCCCGAGCCCAAAATCCATCATCAACAATTGCTTTCTTCCAGTTGCATATGAGACAAAAGAAAAAGGTAATCAGTTACAGAATTAAAAAATGAGTAAAGAAACACACTGAGAAATATTGGAAGTTAGAGAATTCTTGCCTTGATTCTGGCATGATCCTCCACTCTTTGATGGGAAGATAGCTCCTTCAAGTTCTATTATTTCTTTCATGACTAACATTCTCCTTCGGTTGGAAGTCAAAGATTTAGGTACCTTTGTGACGACTAATATACTTTGTACAATGTGTAACAGTATAATTAAAAAATGAGGCATAATTTTCTAACATTTACAAATAAATTCTAATTCTTAAGAAGCTGCTCATGCTACCGATGTTCCTCATTATATTTTTATTGAGTTGCTACTTGAGGTGAGAGACTTCAAAATCCTATATACAGAAAAATTAAAGACAGGAGATGTTTCATTTTAGTATCACATACTTATAAAATCTTTTTTCCTATAGTTCTATCAAAAGAAAACTCCCCCATTCTCGTGAATATGAAAAATTAAGTTGAAGCAACTCTGATATCTTCAACACTTGCTATCCAAAAATGACTGAAATACATTGACTGAATATACTTCAGGGGAACAACAAGACAATGACTAAGTAACGCTACTACTATGTAGAGGTTTAAATACAAAGTTGTTACCTTGTTAGCCCGAAAACCCTTAACGGCGGTCAGTGAGCCATAGAGTTCACTCAGGTTAGAGCCTTTTGAAGCCTTTCCTCGGTTTGTTCCTTCCTTCCCTGAGAAAATTATAATACATCACCATAACTAATAGGAATAGCTGATCACTTAATCATTTTAATAGTAAATTTTAATCAATTTCACAGAACCTGAACTGCAAAATAAGTGGAAAACTTGATACTAATTTACTTTATATAATTCGTAACAGAAAAATAGAAAAACTTGGTATCTAATTTCCAACATTTAGGAATTCATTTTCTCTCTTAAGCAGCTGCTCATGCTGCCGATGTTCCTCGAGTTCTATTTGCGCCGCGCAGTATCCATCTGCATTCAGATATTGTAATGGATACTATGATAAGACAACTGGAAGTGACCAAAACCCATATCCTTACAATTGAAAACTTGCTTACAATTACCTTTCCTCATTATTTTCATTGAGTCGTTGCTTGAGGTGAGAAACTTCAGAATCCTATATACAGAACATTAAAGACAAGAGATGTTTCATTCTGGAGAATACAAAGCTTAAGCAATCTGTGGCTATACTTGCTTAGTCATTGCCTCTAGTTCTGTTTGGAGTTGATTAGTCAAACTAATACCAGTCTTTTGGGAAGACTATTGAAGCTAGTCAATCAATTAAGAACCAACGCTGCCTTGTCCAATTATTCTCTAGCCCGAACCTCTGCATGCAAATTTAGTTCTGAGAGTAAACATACATATACAATCAGAAATTTTGAGACTGTCACTAAGAATCCATCACTGTTCAAAACAACAACTATTGTTACCTTGGTCTTTTGGTCAGCTGTATTTCTCTCAAGCACTTCTAAAGCATTTTGGCATCCTCAAGATCAATATGCTTTTCATTTAAAATCCTTTGACTACACAAAATAGTAAAAAAATGAATTGTTCTAACCTTTTTTTTTTAAGTACATTGATAGTATACTCAAGTTTCTCAACTGATCCTTCTACTAGCTTCACTTTTTCTTCTCTCTCATCTTCATATATCTTTCTTGATTCATACAGCTCTTAGAAGAGGAGAGGAGAAACGAAATTCAGTAAGCAATACAAAAAGGACTGAGAAAATTGACATAATTTTTTCAAGTCTAATTGTGTTGTTGTCTACCTCTTAAGCGTCTATTTCTTTAGCCTCAGATTTCATCTTCCCAAAATCTTCTTTCAAAACTGTTTTACCCAATTCACGTAATGAAGATGGGTCCGTCAATTCTCCAGCATCAGCATCAAGAGAGACAAGTACACACAGAATTAGTTTTGATATGGTAAGAAATTACTTTCATAAGAGGACTGAGAACTTTCAAATTCATGACAAATCACAAATATATAGAAGTTTTATTGAGACCAAAATCAACTGAAGGATGCTAAGTCAAGACCCTTGCCTGGCAGGCTGGCACTGAATGCAGCCCAATGTAGAGCAGACAACCCTTTTTGCATCATGGAAGTTGATGGTAACTCATCGCGGAAGAGTCAACCCAGAACGGGACTTGACCGACTTCATGCAGCCGGGGGATAGCCAAGAACACAACCTACAAAATCCTCTGCTTCCGCAAATTTGCATGACCACCTATAGCTAGTTACTTCCTCAGGACTCAACAAAAATGTCCCAAACCATGAGCTGTTCGAAACTTAAAATTGTAGATGAGAAAAGAGTTATCTCCAAACAAAACCACAATGAGAAAAAGATGAAATATAGGATACGAAAATATGATACCAGTTCACAAACTATACATAAAACAGAAAAGCAGAATGAAACTACTGTTGTAAAGCGTACATGGGCTTACCACTGCTAGAACTATTAGATTATCGCGCAGAAAAAGTGTTAAATGAACCTAAGATATCCTTCTTGGACTCTGACTCCATAGTCTATGAGGCAAAGGAATCTTCCTCTAATGATTTCTATATCTCCCGCCCTGAGTTTTGCCTGGATCAAAATTTTCACAAGCCATTCACAAAACATATACAGCTATAGGATTGAAACTTTCAATGGAACAATTAAGTTGAAGCGTCTCTGCTATCTACAACACTTGTTGACTATCATTTGACAAAAAACAGCGGAAGAAGAAAATACATTGACTGAATATACTTCAGTTACCATTTACCAGTTTCCATAACAGAGAAACAATAAAAGAATGACTATTATAACCAGGTTCCACAGGGTGTGAACTTTTACATATTATACATGTCATACAAAATGATATAGCACCAACGACATAAGAACAAAAACATGCAGTTAATTAACCCATTAATATACATTTGTGTCTACAGTGTATTACTAAAGACAATAACCAGTGGAACTAATCCATCAAATGTACTATTTTGACTATATGCAGAATATGTTTGGTGCCGTAGTAGACCAGTACCACAGCAAAATATACATAAAAATATCGAAACACAAAATGGAATGGCTTCACAAGCCAACATGAACTCTAAAAGGAGCACGCATACAATAAATTTTAAATAATATATATATAAAGTTAAGAAAGATGCATAAGAAATACCTGTCAATATGTGCTTCTTGCAAAGTGACTATAAGACCATATTTCTTCAAGCTAGAAATTCCAAAGCCCACAACTACTCCCGCAAGACCAAAAGCTGCTCCTCTATGCTCACCGTACTTACCACTCTCCATTAGCTTATCGAAGAGCCTCAAAAAAAGGGGCAAGGGCCTCCTCCTCCTAACAAATCATCATTGAAAACAACGATAGACCTTAAGCCACTAGGAACCAAAGGTATATCAAAACTTGTCTCGGTAAGATCTCAAAATTTGTAGGAAACATACTTGCTTTGATAGCACAAGTGGAGAAAGGCATGTTAAGACTGCTCGTTGCACAGAGTCTGATGGTGTGTTCAACACCTCCAACAGATTTTCCACAACATTATGGACTTTAGGATCATCCTGCCATCATTAGTGAATATATAAGATAGAGAAGAAAATCATGTGCACCGTGACGAGATTTAAACAAATGGTAGAGTAATCACTTTTGCCAAGTGCTTTGCTAGTGATCCAGTGAATATAACAACACCCTCACGAACCAGGTCATATTCCTCTTCATCAGATGCCTACATGATAAGAGATATGATGAAGGAGCTTTAAAGTAATCATGAAACAAACAATGTATCCAGCAGGTTTTCAGTTGCTTGAAGAACAAACCTATTTATTTAAATAATTCTCAAAGATGGGGAACAGCAATGAAACGTTTTCTTTGCCATGCTTATCAATAATCATGATACCAGCATTGATCATCTTTCCACGAACATATGTGTTGGGATCAGCCTGCATATGAGATAAACGCTCAGTTTCATACAATTTTCTGAAAGTCAAAAGCTTCAAGCTATAGTTTCTGAAAACAACATAAAATGTGGGTTTCTAGGTGATAAATTGTGAAACCCAAATCCTTTGCAAACCCAAACCCAAATCTTGAATTTGACAAGCATTCATCTGACAAGATGAGAAGAAATACCAGTGCGCGGGATATCAAAAAGGTCATAACAGCAGGATGGTCCTTTGTTGTCAATACGTCAGCAGCAGATTGCAGTGCTAAGGCAATTCCTTGCCTTCCCATCCAACCAGCATCAAAGACATCCTCGCCAGACGTCGCATCACGGATGTACAGAGAAATAAAGTGTAAAGACCAATTAATCTTTAAAGAACCATATTTATTGCCACAAAAAGTAATAATTCAAGAAATGCAATGACCTGGATTGATGTCGGGCTTTAATGAAGAGAATCTGCCAATGCTTGTGCTGCAGCTAAACGGACATTGAGATTTATATGAGAAAGTGCTTTAAAGATTCCTGAATAATCAGTCCCCAAATCATGACCATGGCCATATATCATCTGCTGATTCAGCCACTGACTGCAAGCATAAAGATCACAGAGCATCAGATGGTGCAACTAAGGAAAACAATAACTTTGCCCTAGTCAAGTACACTACGGAAAACAATAGGAGGACAATAAGTTAGAATAATATCAGCAGGAATGGTAAGAAACACACTGGAAAAATGAAGGTATCTACAGGAAGTGGTCCTGATTTACAAGATACATATACCTGTGTATAATTCTCTCAAAAAGGTAACTAGCTGTTACAAAACACATGATTAGCAAGACCCATCTCCTCAAGGGCATCTCCTGTGAACATTTTAGCGTGTTGAGGCCTCCTCTTTGAGCATCAGTTCCCGTGCCTCTTCCTTCACCGTTTTTCCTTTGTCTGCAATTATTAATTCGTAGAAGAATATATATATTCTGGGGACATAATATTAAGACCAAAGAGTGCTTCGCTAGATATGTACCAGCTTTCTTGGCCAACTTTGCAGTGTCCCTTCTCCCCGAATTTGCAGCTTCTCTAGCCTTTCTTTAAAAAATGATTAGAAGAAGATATTATTAAATCCAATATGCTACAAGTTGAATCATGTAACAAGTGTTAAACATAAAAAATAGAATAAAACAATGCAAGTACCGGCTCCTGGTTTGTGTACTTGGCACCAATCGTCTGAGCAACATAGATAGCTTGTTCATTTAAAATCATCCCCTCCGGTGTTTGAAAGATCTGAATAAAAACATAAAATCTTAGAGTTTTAACTACTCAAAACTTGCAGCTGAAAATTAATATTTACCCATTGCACTCTGTATGAAATGTCAGAGTAAAATATTAGAGTTCAACAAGTGTCTAGAGAGAGAGAGGAATGAAATGCTAACTCCATAATTTACTCAAGAAAGACGAAGTAAAAGTGAGGAGATTTTTTAAGGTCAGTCTCTCAAAGCATATCATGAGAGAGTCGATCTGGAAGGTCTTGTAGATGCTAGAAAAAATAAAACATAAGTCATCAGGAAACTATTTAAACGGTATATGTATCCTCTGGTGCCAGAGACACCATTGCGTACAAGGAATATACTGCCGCTTGCTGCTCGGGAGTCTTAGGACTCATTAAACCCATTGGTCCAAGTAGACTCTGAAAGAATCATTCAAATTAATAGTTGATTGGTAACGCCAGGAAACAATTAAAAACCACAAGTTTCGGTGACATAGAAGTCATAAACAGTCGTGAGATTACCTGGCAAACACTTTCTCTAATGGTAGAAAAAGTGTATGAAATGCCAAAGTAAAATATCAGAGAGAGGAAGGAAATGCTAACTCCATAATCTACTCAAGAAAGAAAGAGTAAAAGTGAGGTGATTTTTTACCTTACTGTCAGTCTCAGAGCATAATATCAGGAGAGAGTCGATCTGGAAGGTCTTGTAGATGCTAGAAAAATAAAAGATAAGAAGTCGTGAGATTACCTTGCAAACACTTTCTCATGTAGCAACATCATAACCACGAGTTTTGAGACACTTTTGCAATCTCTGCATATATCAGAAGGTGTAAATCACTATTAAAAAGTGCAATTAAAAGAAACATGAGTAAGTAGAATTAACCATGTCGAATGACTAATGTGAAGATTACCTTCCAAACAGCATCTCTTTTTCCAGTACCAACTATGCTGGGGCGATGCGAGGAAACTATGGAACGAACAATCCATGAGCTTGAAGGTCCAGCAACTGCTGCCAATGAAATGACAACCAAAGCCTTCACTAACACCTCTACAGAAGGGACGAAAGGAGCTTGATGATCGACGGGATTATCTACGTCACGTTAGAGGTGCCAAGTTAGTTCCTAGAATGAATAAGTCATTACTAGAATGAATAAGTCATTACTGTTAATAAAAAGCCAAGATCAGAAAAATAATAGTGATAACATTAGCGATAACTAAACACAGAACAGGCAGCAGTATACCTACTGGCTGGGTGGGCTGAAAAGAATTTAAGAATACAAAACGAGCTTACCATTTCTACCTGTTTCTAGAATAAACGATTTGGTCCCCAGTTATGGTGGAAAGGAAATCCGAGAAGTCGTCTAAAAGAGTAGTGGCTAGCTGTGAAGTTGCGAGGAAGATATTCGTAACAGAATTGTAAGAATAAACGATTTGTCTAAAAGAGTAGTGGCTAGCTGTGAAGTTGCGAGGAAGATGTTCATATCAGAATTGTAAGCTGTTTTACGAACATTCCAGCTTGGATGGAAAACTAGAAAGAGAAGTAACTACATAGAAAAGAGATGAAACATAAGTCCAGAACAGGGAGAAACATGAACTCTCTTAGGCTACCTGTAATAGGGATTTCAATGAAAATGCTTCAATAACCCTGAAATCGGGTAGGAGAGATAGTTAAAGCTTCTACAAACAGTAAAACAACGAATCTCACACATTAGGCAGGAGGTTCACTTGGAGGAGTTTTCTATTAGGAGCATCTCAAGAAGGTCGACAAATACTACACAATCATCACTTGAAAGTTTTTGAGGCCTTTCTGTTGTGACATGCAAAATACAAGAAAGAAAACGAAGAAAAATGCAGCACACCAAAAGGTAAGTACCCTGCCATGGTAAAATTGAACTCATTTTGAGATATCAAAGTAGAGGAAATACAATTTACCAGTTTCCACGGTAGAAGAACAACAAGACAATGACAAGTATAACCAGGTTCCACAGAGGTTAAAGATAATTCTTTATCTTTTATTACAGAAGCAAAAAAAAACATGTAAAACTAATCAACAGGGGCAAACATAAGCTAAATAACTACTTAAACAAAATTGGCAACGTGAGTTAGCCTAAAAAAATGAAACCATCTTTCCTGAATGCTACACCAAAGAACCATAATAACATAAAAATTACCTCAAATTTTGAGTCTGTCTCAATCCATTTGGACCAGAAGTCAACTATAGTAAAATGTTGATCCTTGGACAGAGAAAGACTAAAGGAAGACATTCACTGATGCAGTTTCACATTCACAATGGTCCATGCATTGAAGGCATTTTCCTCTCAGGATTTATACTTCTTCTGCTCTCTTTTTTTCCTGCATCAAGATTTTTTACAACCCTTCTTAAGATTTATTTTCGAAAAGCTACGGGATTGAAGCTTTCAATGGAGCAATATCTTACCTTTAAACTAGAGTGGCGTCGAGAATGATTAGAACTCTACAACAAGAAATATGGAAAAAATGTTATTAGAAACAAAGACAAAAAAAATTAAAGTATGAACTACTCAAAACTTGCAACTGAAAATTAATATTACCCATTGCACTCTGTATGAAATGTCAAAGTAAAATATTAGAGCTCTGTTTAATACCAACTCATCAAAATTCTTTCCCACCACAGTCACTATGCTTGCGTTTTCCGGCAGATTACACGGGGTTTGATCTTAGCTCATATATGTTCCAAGTCTCTTCAGACTCGACGATATCCTAAAAAGAACATCAAAAGAGGATTCTATATGACTATATCTCATACTTACATTATCTGGAACTGGCTCTGACTTATAGTAGCGTGAAACAACTCCATGAGCGAGTCCTGAACACAACTCCTAAATTAAAAATCGAAAAGAGGATGACATGAATCAGTTACCATATGAATATTTGAAAGGAAGAAAAAAAAAAGGTAAAGCAGATTCATACTTCTATATTGTTTGGTGAAGGATCTGATACGAGCAAATACTTGGAGTTCAGGTTGTTATCAAAAGCAGCAACATGTTGATAAAAACTATAGATTAGTCCCACATTGGCTTTGCATTATTGTTAGTAGATCACAAAGTGTCAATCACACAGACTGAGGTCACCGGAATAAGGTCAAGAATTATCAGTAGGTAACAAAGAGTCACTCCGTAACTTACAACAGTTTTATTCCCAGCTTCTATTCTGAATTAGGTCAAGAATGGCATTGCAAGGTTCTCATTTGTTATATCGACATATATTAACATAAGCTGAAAGAAAAGAATAACCAGTTAATAGAGAGTCTAAACACAAATTTTGTCTGGTCTTTAAGATTCAGCATAAGAGAATTACCTTCGATTTAAATTTTCTTGCAATATCTTCAAGAGGCTGAGCAAGTTTCTGAAAAACATTTGAGGTAATCTCATCCATTGCTTGCAATCCAGTTGACTGATATAAAAACATTTAAGCATCACAAAGGGACATAAAACAATGCATCATGACACAAATCATGCAGTGATACACAGGTCATTAAAGAGATATGAAATAAATACATGTCACAATAACTAGAACACAGACACGGAAGAAACGGTGGCAGTTCTACTCAGATAAAATAGCACTGGAAATATTCACTTCATGGTTAGCATGGCCGCAACAAAAACATCTACCAAAATAGTTCATCATAAAACCAAAATAACTATGTTCTACGGTGTAACGGTGTAAAGTTTTTGAGAAAGAGAGATAAAATGATTGATTCATCACGAAGCTTACTTGTCTTTTTTCAACATCTGGGTCTTTCAGTCCTTTAGATAAGAATGATAAGAGGAAGCACCCTTTCACCAAGCTTCCTAACCAGCTCTCCAAGTGATCTTCCTGCTACCTACACAGTATAATAGACTCATACAACTGCAGGATAAAATATAAGGAAAGAAACAAAAAAAAATTAGAATACAAACCTGGCGCCTCTCAGAAGATGGTGATGCCAAAGAAGAAATTAAGGTACTCATCAAAATTGGCATTATTTCCTTCAACGTCTTTGGTGTATTTGCTATAGGTTAGCTGTTAACCTTGAACATTGGTTACCACGTAAATACTAGACTACAGGTTTTGAAAGGAAGGATAAACAACAAGAAAAACACAACACAAAAAATGCTGTTAACCTTGAACAATAGATCCCCAAGCAGTTCAACAGAACTTTGACGGATACGCCAATTATCATTGAAAATACCATCCTCCACAACTGGAAGAAGAAGAGGCAGAGACCTGCAAAACCAATGATGCTACTATTAATTACAGGATCCAATCTCCTGATACAAGACCTGAGATCTAAATAAACTCAATTCAAACATAATTTATCAATGTAATTTACCACAAATTCAAGAGTAACAATAATGGCACCTACTGGCTTAAAAATTTAATCAATCTACGGATCATATTAGGTCAACATTAGCTAATCATGCCAAAAAAAAATCAGAGAGAAGCTTTTATAGTGTAAATTTATACGTTGTAGCATGGTGCTCGACCAGTACATGGCCAGCCCCCAGGGCTGCATCACGAACAGATTCATTCTCATGGGCAAGACCTAAAACATCAAAGAGCACCACCAATTTAGTCAATGAGTCAAAACCTAGTTCAGAAGTTAAAAGTTTGCCAAAAAGTAATAGGTCCACAATTCAGAATGGCCGGTACGACAAGCTGCAAGTACTTCTCGAATTGAGCACCCAAGGATCATGGTAAGAACTGCGAGTAACAAACAAAAGCTTTTAGAATTTTTACAAAACTGACATTTAAGGAACATCTAAGGAGCAACTGGTTTCACCTTGAAAAGCGGAAGGTATCCATCTCGGACCGATGCTTTTTGATGAGAACAATGACGAATGAGGTCAGTAAGTATATTCTCAAAAGTAATCTGTCCCAAGAGCTGCTATAACCTGAAATATAAGGAGAAAACGTTCTACCAGATGCAGCTACAATTTGGGGAAACAATTGTTAAGCAGATGCTGAGATAAATGATTTCTAAATTTCTGTAATTCCATTTGCCATACACCATACCAGTTTTAAATGTACTTGATTGAAACATTAAAAGAAGGTACCAAATAAAGTGAGTACAAAAGCATATATACAGAGACGTTTCTTTGAGTTAAATGTAAATTAAGAGAATCAATCAGCTTATAATTGAACAGTAAAACCCTAATACTCATGCAATGATGTATTGGAAAATCGAAGTATTGAAAACCGTGAAGATAACAAGATTAAGCTCATAGTGTAAAAACACATCTTATTCTCCATACCTCACTTAATCCCTGAGCAGCTCCAGATCTTTCAACATTGCTTGTATCAGATTTTAGAGTTTCAAACAGCCACGGAACAAGATCTGGGAAATTATTCTCTCCCATTCCTCTAATAAGTGACCCAACAGCCCTTGCTGCAACAGAACGTACCTCGGGAATTGGATCCACAAGAACCTGAGAGAACTCATTATTTTGGTAAGAACTGCAGTTTACTTTTCTAACCTCAGGAAGGAGCAATCCTATGTAAGGAAACATATCCTTTGGCTCTGTCACCAAAGAACACATATTACCGACAATTTGAGAAGCTCTCTTTTTTTTGTTTCAGAACTTCTTTCTCTCAATCCTCTATGCACTATTGGTACCAATAGTGCAAGCGAGGGGGCATCAACAGAATTAACGAATGTTGTCTGTAATAAGAGAAGAAAGATTCAGAAAGAAACAGAAAAGAAGAGATGTATAATCGAACACAATTAAATACGGAAGCCTTACTTGAAGAAGGATGACAAGCGAATGTCGTGTGTACTCATTGGGATCTGTTAAGGCCAATAGAAGAGTGGGGACAAAAGAGGATATCTCTGGGTTCTTTATGACACTTCCAAGTTCCAACCTAGAAATAATGGTGAGTGGGAACTCTAGTCAGTAAAATCCACCAAATGTGAAATTTCTTCTATTATATCAGTCTAACCTGCTGAAGTGACCTGCCCAGCTGACTGGACATTTGGATGTGTATCAGTCAAAACCTGTATAATGTTAACTCATGATATCAGATACAGTTAAGAAGCAACTGATATCTACAAGCATACACACCTCTGTAAGTTTTGGCACAGCCCTAGGAAGGCATTGAGACAGTTGCTGAGGAGCACAAAATGCCATAGCACCGAGGAGCTGTACACTGTTTTGCTTTGTTCTCCATGCTTTATCTTCAAGACCCTATCAGAAAGAATGAAATCAACAAAAAAGTACCTGTCATGTAAGAGCACAGAATAAATGCAACTAGGTATACCAAGTTTAGTAACTGAACCTTATTTCTAAGGAGCAGCACTGCCATCATTAGTGAATATATAAGATAGAGAAGGAAATCATGTGCATTGTGTCGAGATTTAAACAAATGGTAGAGTTATTACTCTTGCTAAGTGCTCCGGTGAATATAACAACACCCTGAACCAGGTCATATTCCTCCTCATCAGATGCCAACATGATAAGAGATATGATGAAGCTCTGAAGCAATTCATAATAATCATGAAACAAACGGTGTATCCAGCAGGTTTTCAGTTGGTTGTAGAACAAACCTCTTTATTTAAATAATTCTCAAAATGAAACGTTTTCTTTGCCATGCTTATCAATAATCATGTTACCAGCATTGATCATCTTTCCACGAACATCTTTGTTGGGATCAGCCTGCACTTGAGAAAAACACTCACTTTCATATAATTTTCTGACAGTCAAAAGCTTCAAGCTAAGTTTCCGAGAACAACATAAAATGTGGGTTTCCAGGTGAAAATCCTTTGCAACATGGCTTAGAATGGGAGAGTTCTTTCATTTGACAAGCATTCAGCTGATAAGATGAGAAGAAATACCAGTGCGCAGAATATAAAAAAGGTCATAACAGCAGGAAGGTCCTTTGTTGTCAATACATCAGCAGCAGATTGCAGTGCTAAGGCAATTCCCTGCCTTCCTATCCAACCAGCATCAAAGACATCCTCACCAGACGTAGCATCACAGATGTACAGAGAAAATAAAGTGGAAAGAGATAGCTTCAAAACCAATTATTCTTTGAAAAACCATACTTATTGCCACAAAAAGTAATAATTCAAGAAAGGAAGTGACCTGGCTTGATGTCGGGCTTTCATGAAGAGCATCAGCCAGTAGTTCTGCTGCAGCTAAACAGACATTGAGATATATATGAGAAAGTGCTTTAAAGATTCCTGAATAATCAGTCCCCAAATCATGACCATAGCGGGCCTATATATCATCTGCTGATTCAGCCACTGACTGCAAGCATAAAGATCACAGAGCATCAGATGGTGTAACTATGAAAAACAATAGGAGGACAATAACTTTGGGAGCCCAGTCAAGTACATCAATTTATTATAGTTGACACGGCAAACAATGATATCAACAGTATTTGTGTACAATACAAGAAGATAACATAACTAGATATCACATCAAATTATGAAGGTTAACCTTTTCAGGGTCATGTAGAGCTATCCAAATGTTGGTTGCTATATTTAACATTCTGAGGAAGGGAGCATTTGGAAACAGCAGGAATACCCTTTACAGCGTTTAAGTAGGCCATTTTGACACGAAGATCTTTTGAATAAACTCCGTAGAGCGCCTGTAAACAAAAAAATAATTTAATATGACTCTAGAAGTGGAAAATTTGCTCACAATAAATAGTTAAAAGAAATACATTTGCGACATCAGCAGCTTGCAATCTAAGACACAATTCATTTAGTGCAGGTCCAACTGATGCTTGATATGCGGGAACAACACCTAGCACATGATATAGAACCTGAAGAAAATTTAGTTCAGATGTTATATTTGAGAAAGGGAAGCACGTGATAAAGAACCTGAAAAATTTAGAACAATTTCAGTCGTCACAGATAAAAAATGGAAAGAAATGAGCACAATGTAATTGACACTAAAACTGAACGACTGTACAGTGTAAAAACAGACAGGGTTCAAGTCATTAAACTGATATCATCCGGAGTCTTGGAAGTGGCAGCATCGGATCTAGATGCATGTGCAGAATATGAAGCACATCATCATGAAGTTTGTCCGCTTTGATGCCATGTACAGAATATGAAGCACATCATCATGAAGTTTGTCCGCTTTGATGACAGTAAAATTCGCTCCAGTATCTGGCAAGACAAAATCACAGCCCATTTAGTGTTAGAAAATACAAGTTAGAATAATGTCAACAGAAATGGTAAGGAACACGCCGGGAAAATGAACGTGAACTACAGGAAGTGGTCCTGATTTACAAGATACGGATACGCCGTTATAATCCTCTCAAAAGGACCCTCATATGTTTTCCCAGCCTTGTCAACTGATGGACGAAAATCAGATGAAGCATCAACTTCATCACTCGAGGTCAAGCGCAGAGAAGTTGAAATTTCTAGAGCCCAGTTACACAGTGGCTGAACTGTACACCTTGCAAGCTTCACCAAGTTTTCAAAGGCTGCAGCACTTACAATAGGTGATCGCAGCAATGGATCCAAAAAAGTAGCCTGGTAAAGTGATACCGTGAGTGTAAGAAGTTAATCATAGAATTATAGGAGCCTAATATGCCAAAAGAATAATATTCATGTAAATAAACATAAGGAGTATCAGTGACAGTGGCAGAGGAATGAAAAATAATTGTTTCTGAAATCTATTCATTCACTCTATAGCATATGGATAAGTAAAACTGTTATGGAACAAAGCTTTTACATACCAAAAAAGGTTATTGGCTGTGACAAAACACAGGATTGGCAAGACCCATCTCCCCAAGGGCATGAAGCACCAACGAAACACTTTTTTGTATCCTGTGAACATTTTCCCGTGTTGAGGCCTCCTCTTTGAGCATCAGTTCCCGTGCCTCTTCCTTTGCCGTTTTTCCTTTGTCTGAAATTATTAATTCGCTGAAGAATATATATATGCTGGGGGCATAATATTATTACTATAGAGTGCACTCTGTATTGCACTCTGTATGAAATGTTAGAGTAGAATGTTAGAGCTCAGCAAGTGTCTAGATAGATATAGTAAAAGTGAGGAGATTTACCTTAATGTCAGACTCTGAGAGCATATCATGAGACATCAAGGAACAAATTAAACGGTACATATACCGTCTTAAACACTGTAAATGTATCTTCTGGTGCCAGAGACATCATGGTGGACAAGGAATATACTGCCTCTTGCTGCTCCGAAGTTTTAGGACTCATTAGACCCATTGGTCCAAATAGACTCTGAAACAATCATCAATTCAATAGTTGATTTGTAACGCCAAGAAACAATAAAAAAAACCTCAATTTTCGTTACATAGAAGTCATTGACAGTCATGAGATTACCTTGCAAACACTTTCCGCGTTGGTAGACAAAAAAGTAGTAACATCAAAACCACAAATTTTGAGACACTTTTGCAATCTCTGCGTATATCAGAAGGTGTATATCACTATTAAAAATTGCAAACAAAAGAAATATGGGTAAGTAGAATTAACCATGTCGAATGACCAATGTCAAGATTACCTTCCAAACATCTTCTCTTTTTCTAATTAACCAATGTCGAATGACTACGCTGGGATGATGCGAGCAGAATATGGCTCGAACAATCCATGAACTTGGAGGTCCAGTAACTGCTGCCGATGAAATGACAATCAAAGCCTCCACTAAAACCTCTACAGAAGGGACGAAAGGAACTTGATGATCCATGGGATTATCTGCGTCACTACAGAGGTGCCAAGTTAGTTCCTAGAATGAATAAGTCGTTATTGGCATTTAGGTCCAAACCTTTCTAAATGTGAAATGAATCTAACTGTTAATAAAAAGCCAAGATCAGAGAAATTATAACATCAGAGCTAACTAAACACAAAACTGGCAGCAATATACCTAGTGGCTTGGTGGGATGAAATAATAATACAAAAAGAGCTTATATTTTGTACCTGGTTCTAGAAGAAACAATTTGGTCCCCAGTTATGGAAAGAAAATCCGAGAACTCGTCTAAAAGTGTAGTGGCTAGCTGTGAAGTTGCGAGGAAGATCTTTGTAACAGAATTGTAAGCTGTTTTACGTACATTCCAGCTTGGATGTCAAAGTAGAAATTGAAGCAACTGCATAGAAAAGAGATGAAACATAAGTGCAGAACAGGGAGAAACGGGTCAAAAAACATGAACTAGCTTCGGCTACCTGTTATAGTGAAGTAACTGCATAGAAAAGAGATGAAACATAAGTCCGGAACAGGGAGAAACGGGTCAGAAAACAAGAACTCATTTAGGCTACCTGTGATAGTGATTTAAATGAAAATGCTTCCAAAACCCTGAAATCAGGCAGGAGAGATAGTTAAAACTTCTACAAACAGTCAGACAACGAATCTCACACATTATGCAGGAGGTTTACCTGGAGGAGTGTTCCACGAGGAGCACCACAAGAAGGTCGACACATACTATACAATCATCACTTGAAAGTTTTGAGGCCTTTCACTTACGACATGCAAAGATAAGAAAGAAAACGAAGAAAAATGCAGCAGAACAAAAGGTAAGTACCTTGCCATGGCAAGAGCAGATCACAGAAAAAGTACCAGAAGATATCAAAGTCACATGGGATAGAAAGAATGAATAAGCAAGACCTTTTGGGTTTGTTAGGGTCAACATCTCGTTCTTCTTCTTGTTTTTTGTTGTCACTTCGTCTTCTGCAAGAAACTGAATTAGCCCTTAATGTTTTCTTACTACTGGCTAAAGACTTATAAAGTAAGTTAGTAACTTTTATGATAGTTTTGATTTTCTCCTTCTTCTTGAGAAATTGGAGAGCTTCTTGTTTATGGAGTTTCTCATCTTCTTTATCAGGCTCATGGCTTCTTCATCATTCATCCTTTTTATATTCTTCTAACAATATATCATCCAACAACTGTTTTACATGTTACATCAGATTGATCAGCCACTAATATCGTTTTAACGTTTTATACTCTCGTATAAGTTAGGGACCATACCTTAATAGCTTGCCCGTCTTGTTATATAGTTACTTGATTCAAGAAGCTTTGAGTTGTAGTCTGCGAAAAACTGTAAACCAAATATTTTGAAATTATACTAGTCTAAAGCAAGATCTTACGAGCATAAATTATAATGTACTTATGTCTGAAATGTGAATTTTACCTGGAGATTAGTGTCAGGGGGGTCCATTGTTGCTATTTTGGGCCAAGGATTCTCTGATGTACTTGAGTCTACTTCCAAGTACAAACCATCTTTCTGATCTTCTCTCTATAGAATCACGGAGTAGATGTTAAGAGAAATTAGAGACGTTACACACATGTAAAAGCTCTATTATCCTCCAATTCAAGGGTGTGTCTGAATAGTCTTGTATCGGGTTCATCGTTGTGTCCTTGAAACTCTTTGTTGAACTAAAGGCCAAGAACTTCTGTTCCATTTCCTCCATCTGCCTACATGACAGTTAAATGACATGAAGTTAGGTGATTGACGAAAACATATTCTGGTTGAACCGCACGGGTAAATCAAAACTAACTGAGTGATGAATGTTTTGCTTGTCATTTTATTTGAGGAGCATTCTCCTCTGTTCTGTCCAGGTTTATTGAAATTCTACCACCTTTATTGAAGTTCTACCACCTTTATTGGCTCTTCTTCATTGGCGGATGGATAATGTCTCACTGGTGTTCATACTTCATCTTGCTGAATAATACAACTGATTACACATGCACCTGCAGGACACAGGCTAAAACTCACTTCTTCCTCTTTAAGAATCTTGGTCCTCGTCCTACTGAGACAATAGAAATAAAACCAGATTAGGTAGACACTACAACACATGAGCTGTTTTAAACAGTCATGCTGTGTCAACTGTCAAGTAGCTGACACTTATTTTACTCGGGAGAAACTGCAGTTCTTTGATTATAAGTTTATAACTGTAGCGCAATTGATTCATGTCATTTCAGAGCATCTTTGTCATATCTAGTTTCCTTGGCAGCCTAAGCATAGTCTCACAAATATTATATAACAGTGATTCAAGAACTAGTAATGTGGTTACCATTATGAGACCACCAACAACCCATCAACAAGATTGTGGGGATTTAGACATTGCTTCTCAACCCATCAACAAGATTGCGACTGCTTCCATTTGTTCCTTCCTTGTCAGCTTTGTTTCCAATAATGATGAGATGAAAAATGTATGGGACTGGAAGACAACCAAGCCCACCAGAAGAAAGAGGAGCTGAACATGTCCCAGTTACTGAAACTTCACCCGCCATTTCTGAAAATAATTTCTGTTCTTCTCTGGGAAAGATCATGAACAAAAATGTCCTGAAAAATTAAACAGTATCATCTGTAAGACATAATTTGAGACATAATTGAAAAGACACACCTTCAATTTGTGAATAGAACAGTGAGCGGCAATCTTTATAATCTCTCATGACCTGATGCAAAACTGGTAACAAACAACAACAAAGCCGTTTGTTAGCTATTGAACAAAAGATTACTTCTTGTATATATATATACTTCATAGAGGGCACAACGTTCTCTACCACCTTCATAAAACGTCACAAGGTTCTCTTTTTCTCATCACAAGTTAATAAATGAGCCTGTGGCCAAAAGTGGACCGAAAAGAAGGCATTTCAAAGAGTAAAACACATAATCGTAGGTCTCGAATGGAAGATAGGTAATCGCCTCAAGAATGCCTTCTAAGAGTTTGCTAGGGAAATCAGTGGTATGGGAGATTTTTTGGAGATAGTCTCAAATTCCCTATACTTTATAAGAAACGCATTAAAAACTTGAAACTCGAAAAAAACGCAGGAAAGGAAAAGGGATTATGGAGTGTTTACCATATATGTTCCTGAGATCTTTAGGTAGTCGTGTCGCCAGAACTGCAAAGTACTCTTGTCACTAAAAATAGGAGTTTATAGATATCAAGGCGATTAAGTCTCTCTTAAACAACCTGGAAGATATGTTTATATATGTTATGTTCATAGCCGGCAATTATGTTTGGAAGCTTCCTTTCTTTCAGCAGAAGGATCATCAAGATCAAGCTTGGCTATAAGTTCACCAGCCTGTCAAAAAAACATACAAAACTGTAGGAAACCAATTTTTGATTAGCAGTGGAGCGGTTTTTCACCTGCATTGCTTGTCCTTCAGAAGTTTTGAAATGGATAACTCTTGACGCAAGTGAGAGAAGTGGCATGCACATCTTCATGACCTCACCTGTTGTTTGTAGTAAACAAGTTCTTCTATCAATGAGAAGACAGGTTACCATCCAACTGAAATGACAGTGAAAACCAACCAAGGAGGTGAGATTCTCTAAAACCACCTAACTGGGTGACACATCTTTCTGTTTAATAGTATGGAACAAAATCAGAGAAGTTTCATGCATCGACAGACCTTCATCCAGTAGAGTTCGTATTTCTGATACAACTTCTGAATTTTTCAACTTCTAGTTCTGTTCGGGCTAGTGAGCCTTGGTAAAACTACATGTTTAGTGCTTTGATACTATACACATACCGTATATTTACTTCCTGAAATATTCAAAGACACTTGAGAATGCACAAGAGATATATGCTGCAATTTAAGAGAACAAAACTAAGCTACAAAATCAATACGATAGATACAAAAGAGAGTGATGATATTAGATTACCTCTGGCGAAATTTCCTTACTTCTCAAGACATAACGTAATCCAAAACCACAGAAGCACTGGTCATGGATGCTTTCTGAAGAAGTAGAATATCTCGTCACAATATAGGAAACTTTCCAAGAAAAATAGATATCTGAGAAAGAGGGTCTTACATAGAGTGCTCCACCGATAACAGCCGGATACCATGAAGGCCTCTCTGCTCTGACCCGCATAGCAATCTTACTTGATGATCTTGTAGTTTGAAATTGGATAGAATAATTAAAATGGAAAACAGGAACCTACCATTATCTCACATTCTATTGTAGGATTTAGTGGAGATATACTAGAGCAGTGAGCTTAGTTTGTGTTGTATTCTCAGAGTCCCCTGTACTGCACACCCTCAGCTTGAGGTATTGATGTTCCATCGGAACCTGGACAAAGACATATTAATATTTGGTAGTAAAATAACATCTACGCTTTCTGTAAATCTAACAAGTAAATATAACAGACATTTTATTCTACTGGGTATGTTGATAGTGTCTCTTTTTCTGGTGCGGCTTGCTCTACTTGTCGTGTAGTTGGACTACCTCTTTCTTTAGCTGTAAGAAATGGGATAGATCATAAGTCATAACTCAAACCTCCAGAATACTATAGATCAATTAGATTGTGAACAAGAAAATAAATAAATGCAGGGAGAAATTATAAGTGTAACTGCAATACCAAAGAAGATAGTCATAATAGTGAGTTCATGGTACAACCTATTTCCTAAGATCTTAACATGGTGAGCTACCTAACAACCTTAAGGTCCTTCCAGTTGTGCCGGAAACGACCGAAGCCTAACCAGCACTTCTCAACTGACATTCCAGTTTGGCCAACTCCCTCTGCAAATACAAAGAAATTTACCGGATATGTAAAAAGAATGTAACAAAAGCATACAGAGACAGAATAGATTAAATCTAACAAGGAAAACTCTATCACAACCATTAAATCTAACAAGATCAACTATATCTCGTCCACATATGTATCTTAAGCACAAACATTCAACATCATCAATCAATCTTATCACTCACCTATATGTCCACATGCTCACAAAGATCTCAGTCCGTCTCACTAGCAGAAACTAAAACCTGATGAGAGAAAACAAACCTTAAGAACTCGACGTGGGCACCATCAAGCTGTCTAGTTCACTTACCAACCCAAATCATATGAGTATAACAATCGTTGTAGTGACCAGAAGTCGAGTCTAGCGACGTTAATGATTGTTCATAAGGCAAGGGCAAAAAGTCATAAGAATTCTAGAACTTGGATGTTTGATTATGGGATGATCCAGCGTTAGTCCAGCAACGTGCATGAAACCGAGTGAATTAGGCTAATCAGATGCTAAAAAGGTGAAAAAATCATTAACTATTTTGGATCTTCTAGACACAAACAATCAGCATCAAGCTTTGTGGCAAATAATTAAGAGATCCAATTTAAAATCTTTATTTGTTTTGTTACCTATCTCCTTGGTCACATCGTTTAGTGAAATCAAGATTTGAACTCTCTGCGTAGTGGCTTAACCATCAGTGTCAAAGCTCTGATCATCCTCTGAAGATAATGAATCCTCGATTTTGCATCAATCGATTGATGTTATCCCCTTTGAAACGAATCGCGAATTGACCTAAAACTCAATTTTTTTAAAAAAAAATTCCAAAAATCTCTTAAAAACTAATCAAATCTCAGTTGACATACCTCCGAACATCTAAAGAAGAACCCAGAAAGTATTGTTATAGCGTTGAACACGATCGTGACTTTACCTTCTTCTTCTTCCGCAGGATCTCGTCTTTTCTCCGTCAGAAAATCCACCGTCTTCTCCTTCTCGTTCTTCATCTTCTTCAACATCGCCTCCTACTCCACTAGATCGTTGTCCAACGACTTCGTTTCTTTCCCCTTCGCTGAGATCGGCTACAACGGAGGCTCGACGATCTAACTTTTCTGCTTCAACGCTTCTCAAATATTTCGCCGGAGATGGAGATGTCAAAATTTGGTAGAGCGTCTGAGAGCCCAACGGTCAGAATTCGAAATCAAAAACTGAGAATTTTGTGAATTTAAAAGACTCTTGGTCTCCAAGGCTTACGCAGAGTTATATCACTCGTTTCGATTTTGCGTTTTTGACCGTTTGAAGAGTATTTCTTCAACCCTTAAACCAAACCAAATTTACAGAACCAAATCCACATTAAACCGAGTCCATAAAAAACTATAACCGTTGTTTATTAAAATCGATTTGGTTTAATAATCTATACTATTAATTGGGAAGCACTAAATAATAAATAATCTTATAAATGGTAAAAAATTACATAAAATGCCATTGGGTTATTTGATTTCTAAAAAGAACAAAAAAAAATCGTAAAAGGGTAAACAGGTAATATTCAAATTCGGATACACGCGAATCTTGGGTTGAATTATTCGGGTCATGAAGCGGATCTTGGTATCCATCCATTGGGCCGCAATTAAACCTATATAAAAAAGTAAAACTAAATCAATTATTTTAGGAAATAAGTAATTACAAAATTAATTAGCTTACGTATCCTCCACATTTGATGGGTTGTTTTGAAAAAATCATTTAAGGTAAGATACCTTAAACGATTACAGATCTTTAAATTTTGATTTTTTTGGAAACAATAGATTAATTAACGTAATCTACGTGTTTTATGGGTTGTTTCGAATATTAGCATTGGCGATTAATCTTTTTTTTTTGGTATTAAGCGATTAATTTTCTTATAATTTTATATAAATATCCGAATATTGACTTTACAAATTAGTTTACGTAATCTCCAAGTTTTTAGGGTAGTTTTCCATATTATATTCTATTGAAATAAATCAGATATGCTTCAAAATAATTCTACCTAAAGATTGCTATCCTTAAAAATGAAGATATTCGGCGGATTTGTTTCAAAAACATTTCCGCCAATTATTGTTTTTCCTTTAAATGCATTAACCCTAAAATATATTAGCCCACTTTCTTGATGTTATAAATATAAGGTTTGTTTGCATGTTTATCACTCCCTAATCATCTCTTATTTTCCTTTTTATTGCTTTATCGTTCTCCTTTTCAAAAAATGGCTGCAAATCAAAAGATGAGATGTATTTTGATTTTGCTACCTTTGATGATATCTAAAATGAGGATGGGTTGAACGATAATTTCTTGATTGGTAATTATATAACTATGTCTCTATTTTGAAAGAAGCTTATTCAAGTACTAACATTATTTACATTTTTTTATTTTTTTTTACAGACGTACTCGGTGATGCATGTAAAGATTGTTGGTGAAATGAAAACTTGTGTTTTTTTCTAACAAGCATACCAAAAAAATGAGTTTGAACTCAGAGATTCAAGGTATATTTTACCATTCACGTGTTTTGATATTTTAAATTAATAAATATTTTATATTGTAGTGGTAAATGTTTACCGTGTACTCTATAGAAAAGATTTGTTACATTCCTTAGGGATGCCCCTCAGAATTCTGGCGATGAGGTGGTGGTGTGTTTAATTCGCCTTACAAAAATCAATACATGAAAAAGTATATATTATCCTTTTAAAAAGAGTTAATCCTGTTTAAAATGTATATATATTTATTCTTTTTAATTAATTTACACGTGAAAGATCATTATGAAACACTTTTGACATGACTATGTTGGAGATTAATCCTAATTATCATGTGGTTATAGTCTTATAGAGTTTTTCTCCACGTAAATATTAAAATCGATTGTAAATATTGATAGTAAACTTTTTTTGAGAGAACTGCCAAAAGGTGGATTAGCCTTGGCGATCCAAGAAGATTCCCTTCGAAAACCATTTCCGAACTGCTGATTCTTCAATTGCTACTGGATCGAAGTGATGATCCAATTTGATTATAGGAGAATCGACTAATGAATCTTCTTTTTTTCCTTTATAAAAAAAAAGAATCTATTTTTTTTGTTTTTTTGTTAAGATTCTAATTTATTATTTCTAAATGGACAAGCAATAATGACTTTGAAATCAATTTATTTGGTTTTCATTTTTTTAAGATTCCAGTTTTCATTTTTTAAGATTCCAGTTTCCTCATTTTTTACATAAATACATGAGGTTATACAAATTTAAACACTTTCATTATAAGATGTCATATATTAAATTATAAACGTACATTTCTTATTCTATATTTAGATCACTATAATTTCGTTTAATTTAATTTATCAATATATGTAATATAAATTAAAAATTTAAATGACAAAAAGTAAATTTTAATGCCATTTCTTTTAAAGTTTACTAAATTTATTTACATAAATATAGTTGGAGATAAATGTATACAATTTTATTCTAAAGTGTAAGTGTCTCAGTTTTTATCTTTATGCATGCAAAATACGTATCTATATCATAAAATTTCGAATTCTATAATTAGATCACTTAGAAAAAGCATATAATAGAACAATCTTAACTTCCCAAAACTTTAGGGGGTTAAGGCCATGAATGTTTGGTAGTTTTTTGTTGGTTTTTAGATTCTAGTTTTTGGATTTTGGTTTTTGGTTTTTGATTTTTTTGGTTTTTGATTTTTGGTGTAGATTTTAGTTTTTGCAAAATCTTGAATGGTAATTTGTTTAGTTTTTAGTTTTTCTACATAATATTAATTTTTAAACGTTTTTAAGTTATATATTTTAATTTTTGGTTATATTTTGTGTTTAAAAATTACTAAAATATTGAAAATAAAAATTTGAATAATAAAAAAAAGAATTGAAAAAAAAATGTGACGTAAATTGTTGGAAAAACCCACAAAAGTTGGTTTTTGGATTCCATGAACAAATAGCTAAAATCTGCTAAAAACTGGTTTCCCTATTTTTTAGAGAATCTATTTTTTGTTGAATCATGAATGGTTAATTTTTAGATTTTTGCAAAATCATAATCTAGAAACTGGTCCAAAAACTGGTTCCATTCAAGGCCTAAATATATTATCAAATGTTTTTACGGTAATATAACAAGAATCAATTAAATCAGACAATTCTAAATATATAGATGCATAAAAAATTTGACACACAATGATAGAAAATAGGACTTAGCTCAGCCTTACAATCGAATTTTAAATAGTTATAACCAAATATGAATTATACTTACAAAACAATTTACAATGTAGTCTTCTACATGGGCCAACTATATATAATATGTTTAATGATATTAGAGTTTTCTCTTTGTTATTATTTTGTTTAATTCACTTTTGTAAAATTTGGATTTACTAGCAGCCCATTAAATCTAGCCCAAAACACATATACTAAAAAAAATGCATCAATAAATTTAAATGTTTTACATGGAAACACAAATTCATAGTTCACATATACCAATCAAATTTATTTGTAAGAATTTGAAAATTGAACATTAACAAAATTAACATGTGTTTCAGTTTCACCATTGGTAACACACTTTTCTATTACACAATATTCACTCCTTTCTTCTCTGACCATAATTTTTTATATAACACTACTTTACATCAATCTAACCTAAAATAATTTTCCATCTAAGATTTTCTCTAATCCACTCTTCAGTTTAAAACTCCAAAATTTGACTTATGGTTCATAATATTAGCTATGCTGTCATAAACAAACATAAATAACAATCTATAATTTTCTTTATACATATTATAATATATAATATACACTACAATATATATCACTAAAACAAAAAAAAAAAAACTTTTGAATATAAATTTTATACAACACATTTCTTAAAATATGAAACCCCGCACGTACGTGCGGTTAGTATCTAGTTAAACTTTAATTGAAGGACACATGCATGTCCTTTTCTTATTCGATAATGTACCCAATCATACGTCTTAATCGATGATAAAGTCTATAACCGCAATAATTTGTCATCAATTACAATTTCCTTCGCTAATGGTGTGTTCTTCTCTGAGAGTAGAGGAATCATGAAAAAATCAGACTAACCATTTCCCAAAAATTTTATGTAATTTTTCCGGTGAAATCTGCAGGAAATTCTCAATTTATTAGAAGGAAGTAGTTTTTAGGAGTTGTGGAGATGGAGATTCCTAGGTCAACGGAGATATCAAAGACATTGTTGTTACCTGCGACGATTCTCAATCCCGATGAAGATGTACCCGAGTGGAAAGACCAGATCACGATCCAGGGCTTGATCTCTAGCGCCTTGTTGGGGATATAATTACCCGAGTGGTTTTTTAGTCTTCTTATAGTGATATTCTTGGATTCTTGTTTTTCAGGAGGATTTGGTTCGTATTTGATAGCTATGGATGATAGGACATATAAGCTCATTGGTTTTGATTAAGATATGGATGACTGGGTTTTTATTTGTAGTTAGCTTTCTCGGTCTCTTCAGTCTCCTTCCACTTCGAAAGGTAGCATCTCAATACTATAATCAAAAACTGTCTAAGAAACCAATAATCCAAGAGAACACTATTGTTTGATTTCTTGATCCTTATTCAATAGTGTGTTTCAGGTGATGATTTTGGATTACAAGCTTAAGTATCCCAGTGGAACCGCTACAGTGATGTTGATTAACAGTTTCCACAACAACACTGGAACAGAGGTTGCAGGGTAATTGTCACAGATTCATCTTTTCAATCTCACCTCCCTGCAAACGATAGCTTGAGTTGAGTTTCATCAAATATTTATCTCCAATATTATTCACTTCAGAAACCAAGTTAAATGTCTTGGGAAATACCTGAGCCTTAGCTAAGTTTGGAGTTGCTTCAAGTGGTTCTTTAGTGGTATTGGAGATGCATGTGGCTTTGATCACTTTCCCACACTTGGTATGACTCTATTCAAGAACACGTAAGTTTCTCTATTAACCAATTTAGTACAGTTTAACAATAATATTTTGTAAATGAGAATGGTTTAGCATGTGGATCTAATTGGTTACGAGTCATGATTTTCTGCTGCACATGTTTTACTTTGATTTCAGTCCTACTTTTATTGGATGTGGTATGATATGTCCCCATTTGGTGAACTGTTCGGTTCTTCTCGGTGCTATCATTTCTTGGGGTTTCCTCTGGCCATTTATATCACAGCATGCTAGGGATAGGTATCCAACTGACCTTGAGGCCAGTGATTTCAGAGGTCTCTATGGATATAAGGTAAAATAAACATATCAAGTAGAACGAGTTTAATGAAAGTTCTTATCTTCACATCAAAAGGGGAGAACACAGATTAGTTTCATAGGTCCTTTATTTGCAGTGGTTACTGATCATTTTCATATCATTACCAAACTTATAGGTCTTTATCGCCATTGATATCATCCTTGGTGACAGTCTCTACAACCTCTTTAAGATCATTATTGTCACTGTGAAGGAAATCTGCAACAAAAGCTCCAAACAACACCACCTACCTGTGTTTACCGACACTTTAGGTGCAAAATATCTACTGTATATGCTTTTGTTTTATCTATTGTATTATTTGTTAGTTATAGTAAGAGTTATTACTAAGGTGCCTCTCATGACCATACTGAAAACGTCTGTCTCAAATATATTCTTAAGATTTTCGTTTTGCATTCTTAATTCGGATAAAAGTAAGACCTCAGAATTAATGTGGGAGAAGAAGAAAAGAGATGACATATTTCTCAAGGACCGTATACCCCTCGAGTTTGTGGTTACTATAATTTTCTTTATTGCATCAAAGACTCATAGTGTTATCTTTTAGACAAGATAATTGATCACTCACGTGTAACTATTTCCAAAGGTTTCACATTATCGTCTTCAACCTCTTTATCAACATTAAGGATATTAGCCACAATTTCTTATAAACTTGAACATGTAAGCATGTTTCATTTTTTACCTGGATAATCGAGTAGACTATTGACATCTATTCCTCAAAAAGAAAAGATTCCTATTTAACGTCTCATTCACTCATTAATACGAAATCGGATGCAAGAGTAGATATATCCACAATAATTCATACAAATACACACCAACTAATACATAATTTATCATAAAAGAGAACGATGAAGAATTAAATTTACACGTTGCTTTCAAAACGAAAGCCTTATTCGCTAACTGATTAATAAATTCGTTATTTTTCTTCTCCATAATTAATCACAATCCAATAAGATCGTCATTCTTGGCTATGATCTCTTGGATGAAACTCATGAAATAGTCAAATCAGAATCGAGGGTTTGCATAAAAAAAGAATGGTTATCGTACAAGGAATGGGAGTCCTTTCGGAGATTACTAGTTTGTGGTGGACAACGTCGGGAAGCCGCCTCACTCCGCCAAACCAAGACACATTGCCTAACCAACGCAAAACTGCCTCCAAAATAGAGGAGAATATTATCGCACTCTCAATAGCCATGCACTCAAGATTTTTTTAATTTAATTTTTAGGATATTAATTTATCGAAATATTTTCACAAAAAAAAGAACAATTTATTTGTAAGTAAATTGCTATCAAACCTTTTGAAACCGGAAGATTGTAGTGAATCATTTATTAACTAGAAACGACATCGTTTCCCTTTTCTTCATCATCAACCAAAATCAATATCCTCTTTTAATTTCTATACAAAACTCGAAAGTCAAGGTCGATTATTCCTTCTCCGACAAATCTCCATCCTTGGGTGTATTGCCATAGTCTTTCAATTACCACATAAAGTATAGTTCTGTATCCAGCTCCTCCCATCATTCAAAATCGAAGCCTCAGTTAAATTGGCTCTGAATTTCATGGAGAATTTCGAGCTCCTCTCATCATTGTAATCGAAGCTCAGTGATTTTTCAGAGTCTCAATCTCCCAACTTAGTTCCTTGCATTCGAAAAGGTACACTTATTTGCTTTGTTACTTCCGTTTTCTTGTAACTAACTGATTCTTCGGCTATATACTGAAGTAAGTAATTGTGTCCAGATTTCTCTTCCGGGGTTCTACATTATTTCTGCAAAATTGTCACCTTTATATTTACCTTTGATCAATTTTCATATTAGATTTTGATTTTATATAGCAAATTGTTATGAGATTCATGTTTGTTTGCAATTGTAAATTTTCTTTCAAAATTTTGAGATTGCAGTAGTTTCTGTCATCCATGATGCCAAACTGGTCTCAGCTCCCGGAAGAGCTATTGAACCTTATCTCCAAGAATCTGGACAACTGTTTTGATGTTATTCATGCTCGGTCTGTTTGTCGGTCGTGGCGATCCGCATTTCCGTTTCCTTCATGCCTATTAAGCCTAAGATACTATCTTCCTACGTTTGCTAAGTTCCCTTCCCTAAGCAAAGACTTGTGTACACTCAAGAAGATCCAAGTGTTTCTCTTTAGAGTTAGAAACCCTGCTGCTGATGCTGCGTCGATATCCGAGTATTTTCTTGGAGGAATAGACCAAGATAACTCAAATGATCATATGGAGCTTCCATCTCCTCTTCATTGTTCAGTGAAAGTCAAGATCCCACAATCTGATCCAATCTTGGTGAACATGCTTGACTACCAGATCCTCCCTCTGGGCTATCGGTACATAATGATTGGATGGGATCCTGAATCATTGGCAACGGGTTATGCAGGCTTGGCTTTTCTTCCACTAAATAAGAACGGAGGGGAAGAATTCATTGTGCTTCTCGGCTACTGTAATCATTTGTTGGTGTTGAAAAGTGCTGAAATGAGGTGGACGCGGGTTAAGAAAACCTCAATTGCTTCGTGCAAGGGTTTAGTCACTTTTAGAGGTAGATTTTATGTAACCTTTCTTAACGGGGACATTTACATTTTCGATCCTTATTCGCTGGAACAGACTCTCCTGATGCCCTCACAGCCTCTGCGCTCGAGCAAGTACCTGATTCCAACTGGCAATGATGAGCTTTTTCTGGTTGAGAAGTTCAACCCATTTCCTGAAGCTGATATATTAGATTTTAATCGGTTCACATGTAGAGTGAGCAAGCTAGATGAGGAGGCTGGTATATGGGTTGAGGTCACCGATTTGGGAGACCGTGTGTTGTTTATCGGACACTTTGGAAATATTTGCTGCTCAGCTAAGGAGCTTCCTAATGGTTGTGGTGTGAGTGGGAACTCAATTTTGTTCACCAATGAGCCAGGCAATGTAACGTTTGCCTATAAATATGGAGTACATACTGGAAGGGCGGAAGACGAACTCAATATTTGGAGATTCTCAAGAGAAATACGAGTAATGATCGTCAACACATTTCCGGTTGTAACTCTCCGGCTTGAGAGGCAAGCTGAAAATCTCTGTTTGGATAATCTCTGTTTGGATACCTGAGACTTGCTGTTGAAAATCTTTAATGGTACCCTTTGTTCTGAAGTGTGTATCTTGTGTCACGGTGATATGCTGATGACTAGAACACTGATATTTGAGTTTTAATAGTTTTTTTGTGTTCTCAACTTTCTTGTTGGCAAGATCAGACAACTATGTCTATGGAAATGGTTGTCTCATGAACTCTGAAAGCTATGTCTGGCTGTGTTTTTGCTATCACATGCCCATCTCTTATTTATGCCTTGGAGCCAAAGTTGAGCCACACACGAAAATCAGCTTCAGCCATTTCTTTCTCAGTAGATCTTTGTTAAGGCACACATAGCTAGTCTAGGGAGATTTGTTGGGATTGTCGCTTTGTTTGACAGCTTATACCAACTGAGTTGGATTTTGAAAGGAAATTGGGGAAAAATGTTAAATTTACTAATTAATGAAGGAATTTATTTAGTTGGCTTTTTTTTTTCAAATTTGTGCAGCTTTCATGTCATCCCCTATGCCATACCATTTAGACAGCTTTTATACTTTGCTTTGGACTCTGTTTAGAATTAGAGCCTTGCTCGTTGTACAATGATTTTATTTTGTGACTATGGCTACAGTATGGTTCCAACTTCCAAGTAGGGGTGCCTGCATAGCATAGTCAATGGGTAAAAATCCAGAGTCATCTTCATGTTTAAACTGGTCCAAGAGCTGCAAAGAGCAACACTTCTGCTTTAGTTGTATCCTTCAGATGGAAATGATCAGGATATATTTGGTAGGTTTAAGTTGTGTTGTATTTTTAGATTTATAGTAATGTAGCAAACTTGAAGTTTAGGCGTGGAGCATTGACTGTGTATCAGGGAGGCTTTCAACAGAAACAATGTTTCCTCAATCCTCATAGAGTGAGGATCAGGACAACATAAACTTCAATTATGTCTAAAAAAGGAAAACCACAGATTAATTATCATGATGTTTCTGCTACAGGAAGCTTTGAAAAAATAAGAATAATCAAGAAAGAGAAGCAGATTCTTTATTAGTTCATACTTGTTTTGTTGCCTTACTCAGAGATGCTCACAGGTTTTCTTAATTCATTTCACTCGTAAGTGTTTACATAAAATCTTATCTTGTTGAACTTTAAAAAAAATAAAAAAAATTCAAAGATTATGTTGAACTTCTTATTTCATTGAATGCATAACTCTTCTTTTCATGCTTGTCTGATTCCTCTTTACTACAAAACTATGGCAGTTCCGCTTTGCATTTCGAAAGTATCAAGTTTGACCCACACACGAACGCTTGGTTGAACAAGCAGTTCAAACTCGCCGAATCCACTTCATTTTATGTTTTTATTTTTCTGCAAGTTAGTTGTTCAATGACTTACCCAACCATACATGAATCTTTCGATTCATTTCGCTCTCATTCCCCATATGTTTCGTTCATTCACAAAAACTGCTGACAATATCATTCAGCAGAGTTTGAACTATGAAAATGGAGATAGCGGTCGAGCGGGAAAAAAATCACAAAGCTAGTATAATCCAACAGTTACACCAATCCGTGCGTTGTTTCTATATTTTCATGGTAAAAAAGAAGTTGTTCTAGTAGTATAGTATAAACACATTTATTCTGGTGGCAAGCTTTGCAATACGAGAAGCTTAATTTGAATCAGAATTCACCCACACAACTGCAAGAGTCACAAGGGAAGCATAGATTGAAGTAGGCAGCTTCTGCACAACTTTGCCAACTCCCGGGACACCTTCCGTGGCCTTCTTCGTCGCAATAGCCACAGTTGGAGCCACAATCAAAGATATGATCAAACCCTGACTCACCACGTTAAATGTCTCAGCCGTAATCTGCTCAATAAACTTCACGAACTCATCCCTATCAATTTCTCCATCCAAGTTGATATCGCAATCCTGTTAGAAGAACATCACACAAACAATAGGAGCAATCAAATTTACCAAATTTTCTAAAGACTTGAATTGTCTGGTTGTTTCCATTTTATTTTGTGTAACACAAAATTTATTTGCTAATACTTAAAATCAATATTAATATTTCGGTAGACGCTAATCAAGCGTTTGATCCAGCCAATTAATCGGAGATTAAGCAACGATTTTTTATCCATAATGAGAAATAAATGATGATGGAGGTTACTTAAGCAACGTTTACTATTTGTAACACAACAAACAATATGAACACTCAAGTTGCCTAGACCGATTAGTCCAAGAAAAAAAATAGTAAATTTTTCCAAAATTTTCAACCAATTCTTCTAAAATTAGAATCCAGATGATTGCAATTGTTGTGTTACAAATAGTAAACGTTAAAGCTAAACGCAAACGATAAAAGAAACATCCGTTTAGTGCTTAAAAACTGCGAATTCATTTTTTTTTTTACTTTTTCTTTTAACAATTAAGCAGTAACTCAGCGTTTGCGTTTTAACAGCGTCTTAAGAAAGTAAAAAGTACCGTCATAATGGCTTTGACAAGATCCTTAGAAGGTGGATCGAAATGAGGACCAGGCAATCTCTTGTTTATGTCACTGACAACATAACAACAACAAGAGAAAATTGTCAGAGATTATGATAAAAAGTTGTAAGGAAAATGTTATGGAATCAAAGATTTTACTTGTAAACGAGAAGCACCGCGATGTATAACTCTTCAAACGTAAGATTGGCTCTTCCGGTTTGAATCTTGAACCGATCGAAAACACGATCACATATCGCTTGTACCTGCTTATGTCTCCACTCTTTACCTGCGATTACCATTGCGAATCAATAATAAAAAACAATTTCATTATATACCTGACCATAAAACCGATTACGAATGAGCCAAATATAACAAATTGAAAGCAATTTTACAAACCTCGGAGCTTGTTAAAGACTTGTCCCATGGCGATGAGTGATCTTTTTCTCTTCTGATTGCACAAAATAATTTGCTGATTGATTTTTTTTTTTTTTTACTTGATATGTGGATCTGAGTGGGAGGCGAGAGGCTCTGTTTCCACACCCAAAGATTTTTTTGTCCTCATTAGTTTACGAATTTCGGCCCATTGATATGATCAAGCTAATAAATAATGGGCTCAAATGAGCCTCAATCGTTAATGCCTTAATGGGCTTATATATCTTGTTTAAGCTAAAATCCTCTAGGATGCATTTGACTTAAAAGGATTTTTATCGAAAAGATCAATCAAAGAATATTTATTTATTTAATTTTTTAGAAAACATAAAATTTATCGGACAACTGTTGGAATTATTTTGATTCGTTGCGTTAGAATGCTTTTTCGGATAACTTTCAAAATTGAAGTTCTTTTGAATGAGAAATTGATGTCCAAAAATTGTTGTTTGAAAAGCACAATTGGGACAAATAGAAAAAGTTTTACATTGGAAACATGATCCCTATGGCAATTATTCAGTTTTGTCACATCGTATAAATCGTGGTATTACAACAACAAACCTTTTTTACATCAAGTGCGTCGATTGTTTAAACGTTTAGAGAATTTTATTTTCAAAGAAAAACCAAAGATGAGAGCTTCATTCTTATCTTGATGTGAACCAACTCGAATACTCGACTATTTGAAAACAAAATGAATATTACTTTCTCTCTATTTCTATTCTTCCTCAAAATTGTTCGTCACTTCTTCTTTTATTTCAAGATCCATTTATATCTTATCAAAATGATATCATAGCTTAAGTCGACTATTTGACACTATTGAAAGATTCAACTGTTAATTTTGGCAGTATCTATTTTGACCCAGTGTTCTAAAAAGCGGTGTAGGCGGTCGCCTAGGTCCCGACTAGGCGCTAAGCTCTCATGTGACGCCTAGATGACCGTCTTGACCGCTTAAAATTACATATAACTTATTTAATGTATTTTTTTAATTTCTAATTAAAGTTTATTTATATATGTAGTTATAAATATTCATATATTGCTTAATATAAATATAAATAAATGATTATCAAGTGGATGATCAAGTGCTTTTTAGAGTGTCATTTTATTGTTTAATATAAATATTCATATATTGTTTAATAATAATATAAATAAACGTTTATACACATTGATACACATGGATGATCAAGTACTTTTTAGAGCCTCATTTAATTTCTAATTTTTTTGTATAATTTGTCTTATCATTGTTGTTATGTGTTTCAAACTCTATGTTGGTTTGACAAACAAAAATTATTAAATAATTTAAAATTGATTTTTTATCACAAAATTATTATATATGTAGAACTGTCTTCATAGAGCTTAAGACTATGAAAATCTTACCAAGTTAATAGAAGATATACGTCGCTGCCTTTTTCAATCGCATGTGGCTATTGTTGTTCCAGTTCTTGAGTCCTTTTGAAATATTGGAAGTGTAAGTAGTAAATGTTAAATTACATTCTAAGTAACATTTTTCAGTTTTTTGTTAGTGCGTAATCATTTTGTGTTTTTATGCAGGAGCTTTACGAGCCGAACTAGAGTCTAAGTCCTTTAATACATACCATTTTATGCTTCTCATAGGGCTTGGTATTATGAATGGTGTTCATTTTTGGGAAGTACAAGATTCTGAGGGGAAACAACGAGGAGAAAAAAGTTTACATTAAGATGGCTATGGAATTCCCATTTATATCTCACTTCGTAGAGATAAAAGGGTTTGATCGTATGCCTGAAAACCCTAAGTTGAAGTTCACGCTTGTACTACTGTTGATCAGATTCTGTACAATAGTTACGTAACGTTGAGGTCAGCAGAGCTCATTGTAGAATGTTGGCTAAGCCGGCAAGTACTAATTTTATTTTCTCTTTTGAAATCTAATGGTGTTTTTTTTTTAATTTTGCTAATTTTGGTGGGTTTTTTTTTTATAGGAACTCATAACTTATAGTGAAGGAGATGCAATTTTAAAAGGCTTGATACATTTGGACTGAAGATTGATACAAATGCTCTATTAGATTTTGTTAGCAAGGGCTTCTTTAATGTTCACTTGATGATAAAATACTGAATTTAGCAAGGGCTGCTTTAATGTTCACTAGATGTTTGTCCACTCGACGCGTGAATTATTGTATACATTTTTTCTTTATGTAAAACAAATAAATGAAATATATTTTATAAGCGAAACAACAATACTAACGCATACATAAAAATAACAGATGAATGAGATAGTTATTTTTTTTTTTTTTGTCAACAACTTTATTAGATTGACTCAAATTAGCCAATGTGTAGGAATATTGTTTACATAAGTAGAAAGATGCGGTAAGGTACGAACATTTCGTGCCAGTTTATCCGCTTTCACATTCAAATTTTGGGAAATTAGCGATAAAGAGAAAAAATCAAACTCTTCTTTGTCGCTCTAAATCGCCTCTAAGTAAGTCGTGAACGCTGGCCACTCTTGCGGGGAAGACACCATCTTCACCAGATCGGAGCAGTCTGTAAGGAAAGCTACTTCTCTTTTGTCTTGGCCGATCATACATCTCGTCGCCCAGATTAGTGCTTCAACCTCGGTGTGGAGTGAGGTTAAGCTTCTTCGAATGAGATAGTTAACAGATCAATATATAGACTTAAGACTTTCACTTAATAATTTCGAGATTACAACTTGGTTTAATATATGTTTTACTTGCATTTTTTCAAAGCATTACTAAATTTCAACTACCAAAAGATAAATGACTATTTTACACAATTCAACGTCTACCTCCACCATCAACACTCTTGGAATATTGCCCTTCACTTGAGACTTATGTTGTTTTGAAGCATACTCCATTTTCTTATCCTTCTTTTCGTCTTTAGTCTTCTTGATTTTCTTCTTAATCTCTCTGCAAGAATATCAAATTTATTTGAGTCAACCCAAATTTAGGTTAATATAGATTGGATATAATGAATATTTTCGGCAAAGAAAACCTACAATAATGCATCTTTTTTACTCTCTTCTTTCGAAAGACATCTAAAGTAGCACAAACGATTGACCGTGCGTAGGATTTCTTGGTTTTATGTCACCTCCTCTTCACAATCTCTTACAAAAGTGACAAAAATAAAGATATTGAAACACCATTTGTTGAATTAGAAGAGAAAATGTTATACAATTTACCAATAATAGAAAACTTGGAATATGATGGTTTGTGAGATGTGTGTCTTAATATTTATAGGGAATTTTTTGTAATATTTACATGGCAATGATGTGGATGCCAAGCGGCCCAATAAAGAGAGATTGAAACCCTACTTTTATATATATATGATTAGGTAATTTCCGGCGCATATTCGCGGGTTGGTATAAAATCAATTATGTTAGGTAATTTTAATTTATTTAATAATAATTTAAAAATATAGAACAAATAATTTTTCTAAATGTCAATGACATTCTTTACACTTATATTTATTCAAATCATACAATATAAAAATATATAACTTAGTTAATATAATCATACATAGAAATCTCATGAATTTATTCTTTTTTTATTGTTCAACTATGAAAATAATTTTATTTAGTATTTTTGAGCATTCAAGGTAAAATAAACATTATTAGTGATAAAAATGAAAATGTACAATGATATTCAAATATTTAGTCTAAGTTGCTGATATAAACTAAATCATAACCTAAAGTATTTTACAAATTATTTTGTAAATAACAAATTAAATACATTTCCTATAAAATCATATGAAGTGCAAACAAAAGCTTTCAAAAAATCCCAAAGATTAGTTTCATTGTTTAATCTCTTTTTATATTCCCCTTAATTTAAGTTATAATTATAGGTTTAATTCTAATGATTTCATCTTTATAGTACAAGCTAATTGGAAATGGAATATCAAATTTTTTTATATTTAACGAAAAATCCTTACACTACAAAATTTGAATTAAATAAAAATATTAATGATCTTTATATTATTATATGTTGAATCAATAAAACTAAATATAATGATGAGTATACTAAAAATTGTATTTTGGAGGTAAGAGAGAGTTAAGGAAAATTAATTTGATAATTGTATTACAAAACATTATTTCGTTAAAAATAAAATAAATATACATGAATATGTAAAAAATAATCAAACATTCAAAGTAAAAAAAATGAATATAGTTTCTTTAGCTTGATTCCCTTATTGCGAAATGGTCGGAATTAGTATTTTTGGATCTGCATCAATAAGGTAATTTTATTATAGCCATCAAAATTATAATATACATATGTAATTTTAAATAAAAAATATTAACAAAAACAAAGAAAGAAGGAAGAAATACATAAAATAAAGAAGAAATAAAATTGAAAAGAATGTAATATATATATTAAACAAAAAATATAATCAAACTCTTACAATGATATCTTTTGAGTTTTCAACTCATGCAAGAACATAAACAAAACAAAGAGAATATTTAGGATTTATTGTGTTCTTAGCATCTGTTTTGTTTTTTAAATACTATGTAAGGTTTGATATGGTTCCCTAAACATGTTCCAAATCAAACCCAGCCATCCCAAACTCTTTGTACATATTTTTTTCTTTTTGTTGAATAATAAATTTAACATTTCAACAAAAAAAAAATATTTAGGATTTGATACATGGTGGAGGAGGATGTGAGAATGATTATTTATAGAAAAATAAGTAATGGAAGTTACATTTCTAAACTAATTAGATTATAGGAGTTACAATTATAATTATAGTGTGTTTAAATGACAATGAATAAAGAAAAAAAAGTCAATTCACAATTATGTAATTTCAGTTACAATTAAGTAGTAAAGTGTAGATTTAAAGTATGAATTAATGTATATGATTAAATGTGTTATATTTTAAGTTTAATTGAAAATAAATATTATAATTTTAAAAATGCCAAGTGGACCAATCATGGGAGAGTGAAACTCTAGTTTTATATGTATGATTTGATAAAAATAATTTTGTGATAAAAAAATTAATTTTAAATTATTTAATAGTTTTTTATCGCAAAATTTTTATTTTGAATCACCAATGAAATTAGCAAGGGCTGCTTTTGAACATTTTCTAGATCAATAGTAATGCTTAAAAGAACTTGATGCTTTTGAAATTTATTCAGTATCTATACTAGTATTTTTTAAGTACATTTGTTAGCGGATGTGTTAAATTGTTATCGACAAATTTGGTACTCGACCCAATAAGAAATTTCCTTCATAAATCTAACACCGGATACTTCATATCTTTTTTGGATCAAGTCAAAATATATTCGAAATTATGAACCGGATATTTTTGGTTAAGATTTAGAAATATAACTCTCTTATCATCTTTTTTTGAACATTGTTTAACTGTTTTGAATCATCATATCATACATAAAGTTGAAAAATAAATCTCAATTTCTTTTCTGCATATATTGGGATTCAAAATTTTTAAATGGATATATATTACCCAATTGATGAAAAAGGTGTGTGTTCAACGTCACATATCGGCTAAAATGTTTAGATATTGATTTAGAATCATATTGTAAATAAGATCAAAATGAATCCAAATCCGAATGAACAAGAATCTCAACTTAATAAGCATCCAAATTTAAAATTAGATACCATCTCATTCTGTTTTTTTAGTTTAACTGCTTATTTTATCAGAAATATTAAATTTTAAACTTTTAAAACATTTTAAATAATAGAATTCATATATTTAAAATCAATAAAAAGTTTATAATAATATGAATATTTGAACTTTTATGAAAAGTTACAATAACAAGAGACGGGTTATATTGCTAGACGGAGTTATATAATGGGACGAGTTTTTAAGAAGTTTTAAATATTATATAATTCATATATTTAAAATTAATAAGAATTTTATAATATTAAGAATATTAGAACATATATGAAGAGTTAAAATAACGTAGGACGGTTATAATGCATAACGGGGTTATATTGCAGGACGAGGTTATATTGCATTACGGTTTTATATGATGGACGAGTTTGAATAATAATAAAAAAAATTATTAACCCGCTGTTTCAATACGGGTTAAATCTTCATTTTATTACTTTTTAACACCACCAATATTAGACATATCGAATAATCCTAACGAAAGTAAAATTGTTTAAAACAAAAATTGTCTTGTGGTATATCTTTACTTAATAACAACTGTAAACTATAAAATATAAATGTCTTATAAAATGATACAATTTGCAAATTTTTATATATAATATATAATCATTAAATTTTTAAAATCACTAATTTTAAAAATAAATAGTCATGCGGATTAAATCTTGTTATAATATATATGTAGAAATCTATTAGATTTTTTATTTAAGTAATTTTATTTAAGAATAAATGATATAAATTTTCATCAAAAATTTATTTTAAATTATAAACGACCATAATTTTTTGAAGAAGATTTGTTGCAAAATCGTTAAGAGTAATAATAAATAGTGAAAAAATGTAAATGGGAGAGAGAAGGCCGCGAAAGCGAAACAAGTGAAGTAGCTCAATACCACAGAAACATGGTGCCAGTATCTGCTTCCACCAATCCCATCTCTTCTTTCCATATCTCTTTTTTTATATATCCTCTCCTAATTATCATATTCGTCTTTTTTTCACTATAATCTAAACTTTTCCAATTGTTGAAACAATTTTATATTTATCTCTTCTATTTTCTGCATGGTGGTTTGAATTAGGCCACCAAGAAACTCTTGGATAAAATTGAAACTGAGACACAGCAAAAAAAAAAAAAAGAAAAAACAAAACACACATTCTCGCTTCGTCTGTGCCACACACACTCTCTTGCACCTTCTTGTCTCGACAATATTTTCAGGTGCGTTATTGGCTTTGCCAATTTGGGTTTTGTCTGTCTTTAGAATCTATCCATAGATGCAAATTTGATTTTGATGCTTCTTCATCTTCTTAGTTGGGTTTGAATGGATTAGTCAAATTTAGGTAGTGATGATTGGTTTGGAGCTCACAACTAGAATAAAATACAATTCTTTTGCTGGATAACGTTATTAAGTTTTGTAATTTTCAATACCCACAAGTTGATATTGATTCCTGTGTCTGAAATCTTAAAAAACCCATTAAATTGTTCTCAAATCTCATGAGATTGTGTTTGTTATGTATTGATTTTTGTTAGCAGAAGACAATCTTGAAGAGCAAAGATTGTTCCTTTGTTGATGAATTGAGTGCAAGAGTGTTATATGATGGCTACTGCAGCTGTTATAGGACTCAACACCGGGAAAAGATTGTTGAGTTCATCGTTTTATCACTCAGATGTTACCGAGAAGTTTTTATCTGTAAATGATCATTGTTCATCACAGTATCATATTGCTTCAACGAAAAGCGGGATAACTGCGAAAAAGGCGTCATCATCTAACTATAGTCCGAGTTTTCCTTCATCGAATCGTCACACACAATCTGCCAAGGCTTTGAAAGAGAGTGTAGATGTTGCTTCTACTGAGAAGCCATGGATACATAATGGAACTGATAAGGAATTGGAAGAGGAAGGTTATGATGATGATCTAATTGGTCATTCTGTTGAGGCACTTTTACTGCTACAAAAGTCTATGTTGGAGAAAAGTTGGAATCTTTCGTTTGAGAAGGCGGCGTCAAGTGAGTCCTCGAGCAAGAGGACTATCCGGAAGAAGAAGATTCCGGTCATCACCTGTTCAGGGATTTCAGCTAGGCAAAGGAGGATTGGTGCTAAGAAGAAAACTAATATGACTCATGTTAAAGCAGTTTCAGATGTTTCTAGTGGAAAGCAAGTCAGAGGTTATGTGAAGGGTGTAATAAGTGAAGATGTGCTTAGTCACGCGGAAGTTGTGCGCTTGTCCAAGAAAATCAAATCTGGTCTTCGTCTTGATGATCATAAGTCAAGGTAAAGTAACATACTGTACATAGAAAAAGAGGTGAAAGTATTTATAGTGTAAGGACTGAATTATTGTCTGGTGAAACATTAGATTGAAGGATAGATTAGGCTGTGAGCCTTCTGATGAACAGCTTGCAGTATCCTTGAAGATATCTCGGGCCGAGCTTCAGGCGTGGTTGATGGAATGTCATCTAGCTAGAGAGAAGTTGGCTATGAGCAATGTGCGTTTGGTTATGTCTATTGCTCAGCGATACGATAATTTGGGAGCAGAAATGTCTGATCTTGTTCAGGTAATTTCCAAGTCATCTTGTGGTGCACTCTTTGTTATAGCTTTTTATGAACTTTTCTATAAGAAAGATTTTTGTTTCCTACTATGAAGGGTGGTCTTATCGGACTTTTGCGGGGAATAGAGAAATTTGATTCTTCCAAAGGTTTCAGAATTTCAACTTATGTATATTGGTGGATTCGACAGGTGAGAGAAAAACTGCTTCATCTCAGATGTTTGATGTTTTGTGCTTGCCAATATGGTTAGAATGTAAAAACTGACAAGTGATGCTCTTTGATTCAAAATATCTAAAAGGGTGTCTCAAGAGCATTAGTGGACAACTCAAGAACCTTGAGGTTACCTACTCACCTACATGAAAGACTCGGTCTAATCCGAAATGCAAAGCTTAGACTTCAGGAGAAAGGAATCACACCCTCTATTGATGTAAGTGTATTACTAACATTTGACAATTCTGGTTTCTCCGGTCTACATTGTGTATGCTTATAGTGATTTTTCTTTCCAGAGGATTGCAGAGTCTCTAAACATGTCGCAGAAGAAAGTTAGAAATGCAACAGAGGTAAAGTAAACTAATTTTACTACTTTTCCCTTTCGTTTTCAAGGGGACTGATGGATATTTGTTCTCACGCTCTTGCACTTGCAAAATGCAGGCTGTAAGCAAAATATTTTCTCTAGACAGAGATGCATTTCCTTCTTTGAACGGTCTCCCTGGAGAAACTCATCACAGTGTGAGTCTCTTCTTTCGGTTTCTCTTAAACCGAAACGACAATTTTGGTTTCAGCATCCATGTTTCCATGTGTCTCTCCTCTCCAGTATATAACGTTTTGCTTGTTTGTTTCACTATTTCTAGTACATTGCGGATAATCGTTTGGAGAACAATCCCTGGCACGGGTATGATGATCTGGCACTCAAGGTAAAAAAAATGAAAAAGTCATAAGTGAAGCTACATTGATATAATGGTTCTGATTTTCTCTATTATGAAGCTTGCTATACTTAATGAACACTGAAGTTTGAGCATGTTGATGGTAAAATTGCAGGAGGAAGTAAGCAAGCTTATAAGTGCAACACTCGGAGAACGGGAAAGGGAGATCATCCGATTATACTATGGTCTAGACAAAGAATGTCTCACATGGGAAGACATTAGCAAACGGTATGTATCCAATCTTTAAGCCTCTTGGTCCATTGTTGCATCATAAACATCATTCTTTAAACTGTCTCTTGACAAATTGCAGGATAGGATTATCGAGAGAGAGGGTGAGACAGGTAGGGCTTGTGGCACTGGAGAAACTAAAACACGCAGCGAGGAAGAGAAAAATGGAAGCAATGATCCTCAAGAATTGATTTTGTTTTTGTACATTTTGATTACATCAGAGCCATAGAGAGCGGTTGTGAATGTGTATATATACAGGAAACAAAGGGGGAAGAGTACTCTCTTTATTTTTTATCTTCCTTGCTTCCTTTGTAAACTGAGTTGAGAAACAAAAGACAGTGATGTAATATGGCTTCACGTAACTTCCTCATTCCTCATATATCATCAACTTATACGGTTTTTTTTTTTTTTTTTCCCTGCGAAAGCGATAATACTTCTCATTCGAGACTATTCCATTTCTAACTTTTCACAAGTCGAGAATGTAAAATTTTTAAGTTTTTTTCCGAGTCAAGACTGTTCGTATTCTCATCTCCTGGCTACCATAACTCTTTTGTTTTCGACCCGATATAGGGTCTCTTATTTGGCACCGCTCCCCCGTGATAGCATTGATTCTTTCCAAGTCGAGACTATTTAGTTCTACCTTGTCTTGAATTAGGATAGTTCTAATAGAGAGAGAAAACGAACTTATAGAGAGAAACTTAAGACAAGTATTTGCTTGTATTGATTAGAAATGCTTAGATTATTAACAATGAAGGATCCCACCCCTCTATATACAACTAGGTGAATATCAGCGCTACGCCGCAGGCTTCTTTCAAAAAGATTCCAAAAGTTTAAGGATGCACAATCCTATTCAAGTAAATTATTTGTCAAGACTTCATAACTTAAGAAGATATTCAAGATCAAAACTCTGTTTACTATTCGAAAACAAAAAACACAAGGAAAATCTTTGAGTATCAAGAGCCAATAGAAAATCATACAATGTTTTATGTTGAAAAAGATAAAAGAATGAGTATAAGTTAAAGAAACGTTGAGCAAATATTTTCTCTGGTGGTCCAATATAACAAACTGTGCTTCATTACTAAACAAAAACATTTTGAAAAAATTAACTCTATGATAAATGTATATCTCTCTCAATAAACTATTAACTATGGTCATTGTTGGACCTTGTAGACAACATAACGCTTCCCAAACCACTATTTGTAGTTTTGAAAATTATGAATAATGAAAAGGCTAATACAGTGACCACTTATAACAATGTGTTCAACAATCCAATAATGACGATATCAACTCTTGGAAAACATGTAGAATCTTGATATTTGCTCCAATATGTTTGAGACTTGGAGTCCATTTTGCTCTGTATTTCTATAAAGCCATTGATAGCTCTTTGCAAATAAAAAGCTTCCAAGACATAAATAAAAGTTGTCTACTAAGGCTTAGGTACTTTAAAAACTATATATTTCATACATCTTGTCTCCCATATACACCAGCACATGACTCTCATGAGGCTTCTTTGCGGGGCGAGTCACCGCTGAATGATAGCTGAGTTTCTCTAACTAGAAGGATGTTTACTTGAAAAAATGACCATGAGATTGTATTCTGCATAGTCAATGAGAAGAGAAAGACGGCAAAGTGACGCTTTATCTTAAAAATCAATTCTGTTACATGACAACCATCATCCAGAAATAAGAACTTAAAACCAGCGATTGACAAATCTAGAGTGAATCATTTAGAAGCCAGAGCTCAACTCCATAAAATCAAGCAGTCAAGCATAACAAAAACAATAAAAACTCAACATTTCAAAGCAGAAATCATCTAATTTGGCTTAGAGGATATAATATCATAATTACCCTTTGAAGAACCTTGCTCTTCAACAACTTGTTAAACGCTCTTGAAAGACAAATATTCGATCTTCTTTGTCTTCCTTCCTTTATACATGATCTGTGAAGAAATATTTGATTTTTTTTTTTTTTTTTTTTTTGGAAGTTCAAGTCCGAAAACCCTACATCTCCCAGAGGTGGGATCCACACCAGGTTAAATTCAGATCCCTGCTTCGAACCCAGTACCTCCACCTGGGAGATTTACCACTGGGCCAACACAATGTTGGTGATTTGTACAGAAAATTACATAACAAAACACTTCCAAAACAAAGATTATAGGGAAATGGTAAAGCCCATGGGCCCGAGAGAGGACATAGGACCCAATGGTAGGGACGGTCGGAGCATTACAAGTGGTATCAGAGCCGAACCCAAACGAGTGTGGAGTCAAGAGGGCTCACACCGTCTGTAACGTCCCCGGACCGCTCTATGACCGGACAAGCCACGGGCGACCCGGAGAGCGCTACGATGAAGATGATCGACAACGGATCAGTAGAGGTTCCGAACAAACCGGTTCCTTAACCAATTCGTTAATGACCCTCTTCCCACTATGAATATCACTTAGGCTTGCCAACCCTTGTGATATCCTAGTGTTTAGCGACCCGGACTAGGTCTTATATCATTGATCACTCGGATTTGTTCCGACAAAATCTTTCGTACTTAGTGTATATAGCTTACACTTGCAAAATGTTACCAAATGCGTATCTTTATTCGGATCCTTGTTAAAATTTACATAATAACAAGTAGTTTTGCAGAAGCAACATAAATACCCTATTTCCGACAACTTCCTAGTGTTCGTCTTCCCTTTAAGGTTTTCCCGCTACGGTTGCCTGTTAAACAAGTAGAGTCATGAGTAACCTAAGATTACTCAGTGAGCTGGGTAGTACTCTAACACGCATAAGGTAACTCTCTACAAATCAACCTAATTCATCAAGTAAACAAACATATCAGAGATCACGGAACACGCAGCAAGCATCATTATCATCAAGTAAACATATAGTCTAACAACGATTTATGCATCCGAAAGTCTAGACACTTGAACCTATGGGCCCAATACTCTGTTCCCCGTACGCCATTTCTTCTTAAGATGAAGCCACAAAGGGTACCAGCAGGAGATACCACACTTATGCATCGTCATGCATTACCCGACCTAGGTCCCGAGTCATATGTCATTTTGGTGTAAGTGATCAGCTCAGGATCAAGGCTTACATGACTTGCCGCCAAGAAGGAACATAAGTACTATAGTTTAAGTATGCTTAAGGTATCGGGTAAACCTGAATACCACATAGATAGACATTAATAACATCATGCATCAATACATTTAACAAGTACAGAACGTTTCTAAGAGTCAATCACGATCACTTAGTAGTTCAGCACAAGTATAACATGTAATCACATAGCACAAGTATAGCATGTAATCACATAGCACAAGTATAGCATGTAATCACACAATAGGATAAGGTCACTTCATCAAGTAAACTTAAATTCGTTCAGTTCATCATGTAAACTTAGCATTAGTTCAACTATCATTCTTTATCATGCATGCATTCATCATATCTAAAGCCTAGCTCTAGAGATTCATGCATAATTCACACAATTCTACCACAACTCACGACGAATCGGCAGTTGGTGGAGTTTTACGGTCGCAGGCACGGATTCTCGATCACGGACTGCTTTTCTCGATCACGGATACGAATTTCTCGATCACGGATACAAATTTCTCGATCACCGGCGGTTTTCTCTCGAGCTTTTCTTCTTCTTTCGCTCCAAAATGAAAAATGGGCGGAGAAAAGTCTCTATTTATAGGCAAGAGTCGAAACCCATGCATGGCCGCGTACGGATGTCTGTCCGGACAGCTGCCGCGGTAATACGCGGACAGATGTCCCGGGCGGTACGACGGTAACACGTGACGACAGGTGGCGACAGGTGGCCCGTGCAGACTTCGGCTTCAAGCTTGGTTGCTTGAGCCGCAAGCAAGCCATACCCGGTCCGTGTTTGTCTAGCGGTACGGTCGTTTCGTCCGATCGACGAATCTCTCGACCGAAATCGATAATTCCTCATACCACTTCCTTCCAATCTTCATAATATTCAATTTCGTTCGGCAAAGACTTAAATCAGTACGACAAATTCGGTGCGGAATCACCCGATCGTCCGATAGATGTCTTGCGGTACGTTTGGATACGTCCGCATACGTTTGGATGCGTCCGCGTACGTAAGGATACGTCCGGGTACGTCCGGATATGCCCGGATACGTACGGATACGTCCGGATACGTCCGGGTACGTCTAGGTACGTCCGGATACGTACGGATACGTCCGACTTCGATCTTTTCTCGTCCGAATCTTACTTTTGCTCGACCAAATCCTTTTGTTTCCCTTCCTTAGTAAATTTCTTATTCTTTCTGAGTTCTTCTTTGAGCTTCCGTCAATGAATCTTGCATGGTCGCTTATCCCTTAGTGAGGGTCAATACATTCTACCCCACTTAAAAGAATTCGTCCACGAATTCTAACTCCTAAGTATCTCCTTCCTTGGTTTCTTCTGAAGTTTATTCTCTGTAAAACTCTTAAGTCCTTCTCCATCATCTTGTCTTCTTTTCGTTTTGCTTTTATCTTTTAGTATGTAGACTTAGCTTCTGCTTATTTTGTCACTTGTAACCTCTGTTAGGTACTCTGTCACCAAGTACCTTAACTAATCCCTTTAGCTTAATCGCCGATTTTCCCACAGCTTTCCTCATGTCACCCATCTCTTTTTCTATCTTGTTTTTGCCGGTTTTCCTATGAGCATTAACTTAGCAAATCTGTTGCTAACTCCGTCGTTGCTCGAGTTCTTATCTTCCCTTAAGTACAGTCGGATCTCCGTGGGTTGCTTGGCTTGTTGTTGCTAGACGATCCTCCGGTGGGTTGTCAATCATTAAACACAAACATTCGGTTTTTATACAAGTGATGATTCACGTTGTATAATAGCCGTTCACGCAACAAACAAGCAATTCTAACACTTAACATCATCACAACAAGCAAGTTCTAATACTTATCATGCATTCATTACCAAAAAGTTACACTTTATATTACAAGATCACTATGTTCAGCCCTAGAACATACAAGCACTATTTTACATTTTAGCCTTAGCATATTTACACCCAAAATTGCTAACACTTAGCCGCTTTACTACTTAGCCGAAAGAGTTAAACTATACTTCTTCCTAGATGATCTTAACAGACCATCGGTTTAGGTTTCCTTACACTTGGGACACTCACACTTTACCCACAAGAATGACGGCATCCCTTCATTCAAACAATTCTCCTCTGTTGCCACGGTCGCCGACGGCCCAGCCCCTCCCGAAGTTCCCTCGCTGACTCTTGGAGCGATATACGGACAGTACATCGAGACATGTCCCACTCCACCACAACA